GGGGAGGGGAGGTGATTTTTTTTTAACCAGAATCCCACTGTGACATCACAAGGAGAGCAAATTTGAAACGGAGCATTTTCCTCTGTGTTGTAAGACTTATAGGCAGACCACAAACAAAGGACTGGATGGGTTTATTTCACATTTTGTAGGTCGGTAGACACTCAGGTTACCCAATATATGTTCAAAAACACTGTAGAAGCGGACAGGGCCAGGGTGTTTCCAGAAGAGACTGCAGGTTAATCAGTTTTCTCCACGACTCTGAGCTGAATTTGAATGAAAAGTCTTGTCAGTCGTCTGAAACAGCCCGGTGTGGTTGTCCTTTAGTCTGGAGGTCATTGAACTAAAAGTGGTTCCAATAGTTTCTAAACAGGTCCAAGTCATCTTTGGCCCAGTCCCAAACCCAACACTCTTTTTTTTTGTGATCAACTTTTTAATTTCCTTTTATAACAGACAGAGTTACAACAATCATAAAAATACAGACAAAAAGTAAGAAGACAAAAAAGTGAAACATAAACCCTGTGGCGTTCCCTCCCTCCCCACCCCATAGGTCTCTATTATAAATAAATACTGTGTGCAGGGAAAACAGATTCCAGAACATAGAAAAATAATAATATAGCGCTTACAGCAGTTTGTTAATTCTTTCTAGCATCGATTCCCATGCTGAGATGGTGACAGCTGCAGCACCATGCACTCTTGCCACTGACAGCTCCACACCAATGATATCAATATATGTGTTAATCCACTGTTTTTTTGTGACTGCGTGTGGGGGTTTCCAGTATAAAGCCAACATCTTTTTGGCTGCAGTGATGCCTGTTAAAAGAATACGTGTATCTATACATGTTAATTTTAATGAGGTTGTATCATTCAGGAGCAGCAGAGCGGGAGAGCATGGCACAGGTACACCCAGTACATCAGATAGAATATCACAAACCTCGTCCCAAACCCAACACTCTTGTGGGGTTTGTTTGTGAGTGTTTTGTGCTGTCCCACTGTCTCATCATGAAGTAAACGAGAGCTCTGATGACACAGAGTTACACGCGTTCTGTGACTTTTTATTCCACTGCGCGGTTCTTTGCAAACTTGGAGACGTGAAGGACGTGATCGTCCAGCTCCCCCATAAATGTCAACAAATGTTTGTATATTAAAGCAGTATTAAATAAGGTTAAAAAGGAGCATGAACGTGACAAGAAAACACACAAATAGGTTTTCCTTGACAAAATGTAGTTAATCACTTTATGGTTATTTATTGCATGTTTGTAGAGATTTTTTGTTTCATATTAACAAAGGACGAACATTTATGGCTTTTTTTTTAATAGTTTGCTTGAAATAAATAAACACTGACATGTAAGACAAACATTTACATACCGGCGGTGATGTATCCCATTCCTCATTTTCTAAACTATTTTTGCCTGACAACAGACAGAAGGTGCATCTGCTCTGGTGTCCCACGAGGTTTGACTGACATCACTGCTCAGGTGATCCATCAGCACAGCAGACAGCACGGACTGAAAATAAAAAAATAAAATCTCATCAACTCTTCAGAGCAGATTAGACAAGAGAGGGCTGACGGTGACCACAGTTTGGGAAGGACAGGCCACAGATACACGGGTTCATAGAAGAATCAAAGATGTCAAGTGGAAAAAGACGTGGAAAGAAAAGAGCCCTTAAAGTTCAGGATCTGGGAAGAACTGCGTCACAAGTTATTTACTGCTGAGGAAAAGTGAACAACTTTGTGTAATTAATGAAGTGGTCTGTAGAACCTGAGGACCCTTATTTCAAAGTAAAAGCTGGGTTAAATTCAAACAGCAAGTAAAGTACTCATCTTAAAACAGTACAAAATTTCAAAATAAAAGCCTAACAATTTTTCATAGTACAAAAATTTTGAATTTCAAAATTGGGATTAAAAAATGCAATTAATCGCAATTAACTATTGAAATTTCGCGATTGGTCAATTTTAGCATTTGACAGCCCTCGTCAAAATCAATAACTTTGCAGGAGATTTCTTTAATCAATCTCATATTTGCAATAAAGTTTGATATTTATATTGAAAATGTTACTAACAACAACAACTCATGGAGTCCTGTTGTGTCGTAATAAGACTTCATTATACTTTCCCACCAGTAAATATTTCTGTTATTTAAAATATTGGACCTGTCTCTCTCTCTGGATTAGCTGGATCTAGACTTCGAAAAGTTTCACCTGAAAGAAGAGGTTCCCATGGCTGCATCATGTCACTGGACCTCGGTTCGTTATTCCTGATTTTCAGTGTTCAGTTTTCAAGCTGCCAGAGAGTGATTCTTGACTCACTGACTGAAAACAGCGGCTGACTCTCGACAAACACCATAGCTTGAATCTGTTTCATCATTCATACGTCTGATGAATGACAAAGGAGACGAGCAGTCGGTCTGCCCGAGCTGTCTCCTTCAAGGATTTATTGACCTCCATCACTCTCAGGACTATTTCTAGCTTTCTGTTGACAACTTGGTTAATTGATTATATTTACCCATATCTATTAATACATTTCCAGTGGAGGGTTTCATGGGAGTCGAAGATGTAAAAGTGATTCAACTGGAAGTCAAAAAACAATTGATAGGAGCACAGACTGTAAATATTAAAAGATGAAGCCTGCGTGATGTCACCCATCTGTTCCTGCAGGGGGCTCTGGAGGCTCAGCAGCAGCAGCCGCCATGTTGGAAATCCTGTCTCAGTCTAACTTTCAGTCACCTAACGACAGGCTGAGAGCTGGTGCTGAGGCGGGTTTTAAGCCTCTTGATGAACCATGACAGCGCGCCCACCTGTCAATCATGTCAGCTACGCACTGATAACACATATCGTTCATAAAATCGAAACAGAGCCGTTTACAAAAATTCACCCCCCGCACAGTGTGTGCCCATGATGACAATAACTAATCAGTAAGCCTCTAGTGGACACTCAAAGAACTGCACTGACTTCATTTTTCTAGACGGAGGTTTCTAGGAGGTTGCAGCTTGTATAGGACACATTTTAAAGACACACTTTCTATCAATCAATCTTTATTAGTATAGCGGCAATTCATAACAAATGCTATCTCAAGACACTTTGTTATATTATCTACAAAGACTCAACTGTGCTTTCTTATGATGTAAACATGGACGTAGTCTCAGTGCAGCTGGGCGTTTTGAAGCTGATCAATGGTGGTCATCTGTGAGGGAGCCGTTGTTCAGTGCGTATATGATTATGAATTGTATTTCAATGGTTTGGTTTATATGTTTATTTTTTACTTAATAGGACACTAGATGGTGATAATAGGTTTTGACCTCAGGGGTCTTAGCGTTTGATCCTTATATTTAATGTGTGTTTAGCTCAGCAGAAGGGGCGGGGCTTCAATACTATGAGTCTTGCTCCAGATTACATCACCAGCACAATATGTCTGCAACATAAAACAAACATGTTTAAAAAGCGCTTCACTGACGTCATGACACACCTTTTTTTTTCAGGGACAGGATCATGACCCACTAAGAAGGCTCCACGACCCACTTTTGGGACCCAACCCACCAATTGAGAACCACTGGTCTATCTTACAGTCTACGTTAAAGGCCTGTTGTATGACAAATGATAGTGCTGTTTCAACTTTTGTACAGTGATTGGGTATCAAAGAACAACAACAAGAAGTGGTTTATAGTTTGTGATTCTATTCTGCCTTGGCTGATGTGATGAAGTCCAGATGTTGACACTGAACAGCAGCCGAGGATACCCGCAGGTTTCTGTCTGAGGGGGGGATTCCTCCTCTCTGCCCCTGTGGCCCTCTGCTCAGACTTACCCGTCACTCCACACTGCAAGAAATCTCACACCAACAAACTCTTTTCTTCAAGTCTCTTTCTATGCAGCTGTCACTCTGAAACGTGTTAATACCAGACACTTTGGATTAAAGGAAACAAAGCCCCCTCACCTGCAGGGTGGAGTGGAGGTTTCATGTGAGACCTTTTTTCAATTGTAATTTAAAAGGAAGTTGAAAACACGAAAGCAAAGAGAATCACTAAAAATGTATAAACTAAACTGATGTAAGTTTGAAAAATATAAATATATATATTCAATTTAAATTGATGAATTCATTTAACTCAATATTTTAGGTGGATTCAACTTTTGAAGTTTAACTTTGGATTTCAAGTTAAAAGAAATTGAAAGACCATTTTGTTAAATAGTTTCACAGGAACTGAATTGTGATCAAAAGTTTTGTGAAGTTAAAGATTGAAGTCCAACTGACTTGATGTCAAGTTTAATTGACTAGAAAATTGTATTTATTTGGAATAATCACAAATTTATCTCAACCTATCTTTTTAAGTTCAGTTAACTTAAAATTTGAAGGCAGCCCGGACACTAACTTTTTAAAGTTATAACAACTATTTTTTTTTTTTACAGTGTAGCTTTAAATGTAAATGAGCTGTGTCTGACCACGCCCCCTCTCTGGAAGGGCTTGACCTTTCTTGCTCCATGCCCTATTGTTGCAGTGAGAAGGCAGACTCAGAGGGCAGACAAACACCTAGCTGTGGTGGGAGTGTCACCCACTTGGGGGAGGGGTTACTGCCCTTTGTGATGTCATGAAGGGAAACTCTCCAAACGCCTGTTTGAGCACAAATTTTCTGAAAAGTGGAGCAGGCAAAAGACAGAGAGGATGGACTTTACTCATAATAAGGAGGTTTGTAGACAAGTTTATTTTGTATAACATGTGACCTTTAAGATGGATACCTAAAATACATCTTTAGGTGAAATAATGGAAATTCAAAGGAAAATATCTGATGATTCTTGATAGTGATTTCATAAAACTCTTCTATCAAATTTTACATGTTTTTCTTCTCTGTGACATTTACCGTCCTTTTTAAATTCAATTACCTCTTAAATAAAACTGTTGATATTTTTTGCAGTGGTCGCTCCTCTCTCTCTCTTTCTCTCTCTCTCTCTCCCTCCCTCTCTCTGACACACATACACAAAAACACACATACATATACACGCGCGGACAGACAGGCAGATAGGTGGACAGACTGTCTCCTGCTAGAGCTCAAGGACTGAAGGACACGCTACCTAAAGCGCAGCTGATAAGCGGCTTTAATCGGCTAATTTTGCCCCGGTGGCCTTTAGCAGGCTACAGGTAAACACACCGGAGCTGAAACCACCCGCAGTCCGACACACTCACCGTGGTCTGACCCCAGAGACGCTCCGGATGGTCGGCAACTCAACAAACTGAGCTCTTTATTTTTTATTTTTTTTAAACCGAGGAGCCATGGAGCTCCTCAACTTTCTAACGGGTTGAAGATTTGAACGCGCTCTTGATCCTCCCCATGTTCATGGCTTTAAGTGTTCTTTCTCCAGAGCAAAGCCGAAACTTTCCCTGCATCTTTTTAATAATCATGAGTTAGCGTTAAAATTTGTGAAGAAGGCCAAATTTCACCTGGTTCCATCTTGTTTTACGCGCTGTTTCTTTGCGTAAAGTGCGCACCGGAGCGCCCTGGAGCTCAACTGTAGAGTTTGAGTCAAGTAGCCAAGATGATATCACAGTGCGGGGAACAGGGTCTGGCCCGGCCTTCATGAGACCCCGCTGGCCGCGCTGCTGTGGCTCGGACCGGGACGGAGCGGAGGAGCCGCGGCGGAGATGGCGTCCAACCTGAGCGCGGCGGCGGCGGCAGCGTCAGCACCGGAGGCGGTGGCGAGGGAACACAACCTGCCGGCGCTGGTGTTCGGGGTGCTGCTGATCGTGGTGATCATCTGCGGGAACATGCTGGTGTGTCTTAGCGTGTTCTCCGAGAAGGCTCTAAAGACCACCACCAACTACTTCATCGTCAGCCTGGCCGTGGCGGATCTGATGCTCGCGGTGCTCGTGCTGCCGCTCTTCGTCTACTCCGAGGTGAGATCAACCTGAGCACAATCCGAGAAGATGTTACAAATTAGTTAGACAATATAGGTGATTATTTTTTCCTTCACACGTTCAGCTTACAGCAGCATCCACAGCCTCAGAGAACCCCAAACTGTAGAAGGGTCCCCATAAAAACCTTCTTAAGCTTTGGCGTCCAGATGCAGATCTCTGCAGGTTTGATGATCATAACTTTCCCTTTCAGATCTGTTTGTGGAAACTTTCTCCACCTGGAACTGTTAAAAGTGTGACAAAGCCCCTCAAAGAAACGTCAATTCACCAACAGCAAACTCAAATCCTACTTCAGTTGGTAACCAGAGATCCCTTCATTTATTAATTTCAGAAGGCAACGTCAAAGCCCTTTAAAACTTTAAATTAAAGCCCTGAAGATGTGCTTGACTTTTCCTCAATTGAGGAAATATTTCTAATTACTAAGATTTATTATGGATTGACTCATGAGTCCAAACTCCCTCACATCACTTTGATTTCAGCCCTTAGTCGTTTCCTTAAGAAGTTGGGTGACATTCCCCTATATCCAGGATATATGCATTTAGTATACTGCTGATTTTTCAGTCTCATAGGGTATACCCACTTCTAAATAATAACTGATTGGGGCGCTGGTGGCGCAGTGTGGCTCTTTTCCTGCATGTCATTCCCCACTCTCTCTCTCTCCCTGATTTCTGACTCTATCCACTGTCCTGTCTCTCCAATAAAGGCACAAAAAGCCCAAAAATAAATCTTTAAAAAAAAAATGATAATAATAATAATAAAAACTGATTACTTGAATTGCAAAACCAATGCATTATGTAACTTGTTGAATTAAGAAAAGAATCAGAGTTAGTTCACTACAGTGCATGAGGATACATTAAAATACATGACATAAATGACAACACAAATGCTAGAAACCAGTTTAAATTACAGAACATTTAAAAGTGGGTACAGCTCTGGTTTGCTTTCAGCATTTCACCTTTTTCGTAAAAGATTTTAAGTCTAAAATACATTTTATTTCAGGTGGTAATGTGTTCCAGTTACCGCCTTTGATTGCTTTGTAACTCATCCCCTCCAATACCATGCACGTATATGTCACTATGTGAGTTGTCTCAAGCCTTTAGTCTGTTGACCAGTTACAAAATCTGCTCCTCTTCTGTGGCTAATGCTAATTTCATGACAATCCCTACTCTAAAAATTGAGTGTTGATGTGCAAATACAAAACATCAACTTTTAAGGTGAATTAAATATGCAGTCTTACATGTCACTGTTTGCAGAGGCTGTTTATCCTCTGCTGGAGCGGCCCCTTAAAAGCTTCATTTGGGGAAAATTTTGAGTGTACCCACTTCTTCAGGCACCTCTACACCACTGCCTGTAACATGTTATTCAGTTTGTGTAATCTGCATCAACATCCAGCTCCAATCCATCACTGATTCATCACTTAACAGATTCAGATACATGCAGAGTGTTTAACCGTATAGTTGTAAGGTTTACAGCGTTTTTAAATGATAATACAACTAAAGTCAAGAAAAGTGGTACAGTGGTGCAGTGGTTAGTACGCAGCGGGCATCCCAGGTTTGAATCCCACCTGTGGCTCCTTTCCCGCATGTCATTCCCCACTCTCTCTTTCTCCCTGATTTCCAACTCTATCCACTGTCCTATCTCTCCATTAAAGGCACAACAAGCCCAAAAATAAATCTTAAAAAAAAAAAATGTTACCCTTGTGATTGACTGGCGAACAGTCCAGGGTGTAACCCCGAATGGGAAAAAGCGGTATAAAGTAAGAGTTTGAAACACCTGAAACCATGCAGGTAAACCATGAAACCTCCTTAAAATATCATAATTGATGCATTATTCAGTTAGTATTCCATTATTTTAGGGTTGTTGGTACTTATGGAGGTTTTCATGGATTTTGAGGTGAACTGATTAAATTCAGGAGCCTTTCTTGTCGATATTTGATGCTCAGATCTTGTGACATTTTGACCTCACAGTTTAGATCTTTATCGTCCTGCAGGAGGGGAAAAATAACGTAAACTTAATGAACACATAAAGATACTTCAAGTGATGAAAAAAGTGTAACAAATAAGAGCAGAAATGAGAGGAAGAGCTGACATAAGAAGAGAGAAAGTCTGCCTTGACTCTTTGCTAAAACATGAACCTGATTCATGTAATTTTCTGAAACCTTAATTTTTCATGATCATCATCAAAGAGAGGACAGTCTGCATGAAATGCAATACATCAGTCCATGAACGTCAGTAAAGAAAGTGCAGGCCCCCCCCCCGCAAAAATTGTTGGGCCCCTTAAAGGCCCAGTCAGTGGGCCCTCCCAGGTTATGATTTAAATCAACACATGCACATTCGATCAGTATTGTCAGTGTGTATAGGTATCCTAACATTGTGCAGGTCCTTGAATGGATATACTGATTGTGACATAACTGGAATATCAGATAAGTTCACATGGCTGCTTAGGTCGCTCGGTGACGTTAAGAAAAATAATTTTGAAACAGGGTAAATTTTATGGCATTTTAAGGCGTGAGACATACAAGTTCTCCTTCAGCAATTAAGCTAGCAATACAAAATATTTTGAAATATGGATAAATTAAACAACAGAGACTTTCTCAGAGAAACATGTGGAGTGTAACATGTCACTCGTCTTTTTACTGCAGTGAGGTCACGAGACACGACCCGCAGAGACGCTCACAACAAGAAGAGGAGTCATTTTAAAGACACACAAAAAGAGTTACATCCGTGTGTGAGGATTTCCTCGTTTTGTTTCAGCCAGGATTATTAACAATATTAACCAATCAGAGTGTAGATTTAAACTAACTACAGAATTGGACCAGTGATTTCCAAAGTGAGGCATGGGGGGGGGGTCCTGATGTGATGACAAGGGGGGGGTCCTAATGTGATGGGGGGGGGTGTGCAGCAAGGCCAAATAAAAACATTGAACACTGTTTTGCACTGACAGGAAAGCATAGCATATGTTGTGAGAGGACTTTCAAAATGAATCGACAACACACAACTCAGAACTACTGAAACAAAGACAAGAAAATGTGACGAGTCAAATCTTGCCCTTGGCTTCTCCTGTACATGAGACATCTGTGTGCAGGAGGGTTTTCTTTGTGCAGCTCCCTTAAACAACACAAAATACAGAACAAAGCCTGACATTGAAAATTAACTAAGCGTGTCAGTCTCACGGCTGCACTCAGGACTTGAGGAGATCTGGAGCAGAAAACAAGCCCACACTGGTCTTTTAAAGGAAGAATGGGACTCTCTGATCCAGTAGATGTCGCCCTTGAGCACCAGCATAAAACCAAAACAAACTGCTATTCTTAAGCCTCCGCTCTCCTCCAGCGATACACCTCCAACCCCTCTCTAATCGCGTTCACACGAAGGAGTTATAAATTAGAATGCACCATAATTAAACACCATTAAGCACAAGCATCGGACAAAATTGTAGCTGCAGTTGCCCACGACCTGCATTGTTATGTTAGCATGCTAATGTTAGCGCTCTTTAGTTAGCTTGTAGCTACACATTGAAAATAAATTAACACAGAATGACCGAGATCTAAAAACTCTTGTGTCACTTTTAATTGCTTCCTCTGTTAAAGCCGCTCGTCAGTTTTTTTCTCTTTATTTGTTGTCTCACACTCAGAAGTTTCTATTCTGAACTTTTTGCAGACTATGTTAGAGCTCAATCCTAAAACTGTAGGAATGTGTGATCAAAGAGCGTGACTAACGGTGTGTTTAGTATCGCTATATAGTATATCGCTAAATGTTGATGTCCCGATACGGTGAAGGATGGGGGGTGAAAATATTTTCATCTGCCAAAGGAGCCCTGGCAGAAAAAGCAGAAGGTTTAAGTAAAGTCAGAAAGTTTAAACATTCTGTTTGTCAGAATAAAGTTATGTTTTTATTACAGATTCATTTCACCTTTGGGAACTTTTACTTCACTAAAGAGATCAGTTTGTAGTTTGTCACTTCACTACATGTAGGGAAAGGCCTTTAAATGAAATTATAATATGAAATAATAATAATACATAAGATAACTTTAAACATGGCATTTTGTACATTAAGAAATTAAGATGTATTATTATTATTATTATAGAGAAGATATATAGCATAAAGCACTTATCAAATCCCAACCGTAAAGTACACAATACAATCAAATAATAATAAAATCCTATGAAAAGCATGAAAATAAAACAATCAAACAGTACTAAGGTGAAGAACACATTGAGGTGTTAATAATTATCATAATCTTATTGATGCATTTAATTTCAACGTTCTGTAACAAAATTTATGGTTAATATGTTTATATTTTGTTGCATTTTAGCCCTAAAAATGTTTTTTACTTTTAGATATTTTTATTCACACTATTTGTTTTTGACTAAAATACTTATATTTTTGTATTTATAGTTTTTAAATGTATGTTTTGTATGGATTCTTTTCAACAATTTTAACAATTCACTTTTTTACTCCCCCCCTCTTTTAACCTGTTTTAACTTGAATTTAACAGGAAACAGGAAAACAGAATTTCATCCATACCTCAGGAGTAAAATAATGTGTGTTGGTACGGTGTATTTCCTGAAACAGTCAGTCTTTGTGTCCCATACACAGTCTGTCCTTTACTTCCCATGAGGGGCCCCTCATCAACAATGGACCGGAGGAAAACAATAAGAAGGGGTCAAAGTTTGTCCGTTTGTGTCACGTGTCTTTGTGTCAGTTTCTTTATTCATCACAGCTTTTACCCTCACGCCTCCGTTTTGTTATCATAACTGTTTTTCTTTTTATCACAACAATGAATACAAACACGTCATTCAGGCTGGTCGATCTGATCCGGACAAACTGTCACAAATATTCAAGAAAAAAAAAGACAACAAAAAGAGACGCCCCCCCCCCCCTTTAGGAACAAAGCATTGTGTTGACATTGTTTTGGGTTATGTGTCCTGGTTCGCTGCAAATCAGTCAAATTATTTATTTTAAATTCCTACTACACCTATCGTTTTTTAAAGTTTAGTAAGTGCTTTACAATAAAGGCAAAATAAGGATACATTTAAGGCAATATGACAAAAATAAATCTGAACCAAAATTCGGGAAAAAAACAGTATAAAGTAAAGGTTAAACTGGCACACACTCCTCAGCGACAGCACAGACCTTACTCTGTTTGACTCCACACCGCGCCCATGTCTTGTGTCTTGTTGATTGTTTTGTTAAGTGTCCTTGAAGCAGTGAGGAGCAGAGGGTTCACCTTGGGGAAAGTCTGATCCCTGCTGTTATAGCTGTCCTGAACAAAAGGCCTCGCTGAACATGAACTTTTGATTGCTGTTTGGCATTGTTTGTTTTATACCCTGTTTTTTGTGTATGTAGTCAAAGGGTCAAAGGTCGAAGGTATCTTTATTGTTCCCACAGGGAAATTTGTTTGCAGACGGAAACATACAATACATTAACAACACTAAGAAATAATCCATGAAAGATATGGTGCATAAATACATAAAACATGAAACAAGAAAGCCCAGCAAAGATGCTCCGGCATCCAAATAAAAGTGCAGTTTGCAATGAGCAAGAACTTAAAATTCGGGGTGCTGGTGGTGCAGTGATTAGAACGCGCGACCCATGTATGGAGGCTGTAGTCCTCGAAGCAGGAGCCCAGGTTCCAATCCGACCTGTGGCTCCTTTCCCGCATGTCATTCCCTGATTTCCGACCCTATCCTCTGTCCTATCTCTCCAATAAAGGCACAAAATGCCCAAAAATAAATCTTAAAAAAAAAAAAGAAATTAAAATTAATCTGCTATTTAACAAACAACTAGCAGCAGGTACAAATGAGACCAGGCAATGTCATGGATTTAATGTGATGAATAATGTATGGCCTGTATGTCTGTAAAGTTTTGTGTGTTGTGCAAAAGTAAACATACCCAACGTGTTTCTGTGTGTTTCAGTTCGAGGGTGGCGCTTGGACCCTCAGCACCACGGTCTGTGACGGTCTGATGACGATGGACGTGATGCTGTGCACCGCCTCCATCTTCAACCTCTGCGCCATCAGCATCGACAGGTCAGTGCTCACCTGCAAACATCTGTCTATCATTACGATTCCTTTCTTTCCTTTTTTACTATTTTTTTTTTTGTTTTTTTATTTCTGTGTTTCTTTAAAGTGCTTTAAAGGAGCAATATGTAACTCTGACACCTAGAGTTCAAAATGGGTACTGCAGTCCAATTTCGAAACAATGGAGAGAGCTGTCTCCCCCCGCCCCTTCCTCCCCAGAGACGATGTGCAGGCAGGTTGCCATGTGGTGGACACTGAAGCTTCAGTGTTTAGCCAGCTCTGCATCGGTCTGTAAACCTTTCTGTGTTTAACCTCTCTCCATTTTTCAAAAGCATCTCCAATACTGATCCTAGTTTGAGCACGTTCTGCTCGTGAGCTTATTAGAAACATGCAGAAGTTTTTTTGGTCGGGTACAATCACTTCTATCTGAACCAGTTCTCTTGCCCGCTTCCATCACTGCAACACCTGTTGGTTTGACCTGATAACTGCTCTCATATCTGGCAAACCGAGGGGCGTCCAAAACAGCCGTGTGGGGGTGCCTTAAAACCGTCTACCTTCTCTGGTCCAAACACATCCAGAGGATTCAGGACCAGAATCTAAAGTTAGAAGGAGGACATACTGGCTGCTGCATTGTTGTCAGAGAAGCCAGCACTTCAACATAGCATGTTTCCTTAATGTCTGATCATATAGTAAGGTCACGTTATCATTTCATTTAGTAGATATCTTACAGATTGGTTAACAACAAGACATAAAACAATACAGTCCAATAAAATATGCAACACTATGATACAGTAAGATATGACAAAATACCAAACAGTACAGTTTCTCCAGCTGCAGTGATCCAGATCCAGCTCTCCTGCAAACTCCTGCAGAGATATCAGAGGAAACTCTGTAGACTTGATTAAAAGGATGAGGCCAAAGTTCAGGTATAACTCAGACACCCAGCGTCATAACCAGAGATTGAATCACCCTCAGGTCAGGGTCACCCAGAAACAACCAGCTTATTAATCAAACGTGAGCCCTGAGGACCACTTGCTGAGACTCTCAGGTCTCCATCTGAAGGTGGTCAGGGTCAGACTGTCACAAAACAGATCACTCTGAAAAAACACCACATTAACTTTGTCTGTTTCCTGTAAAAGCTACACAAAAAGAAAAATTAAGCAAATCTTAGAGCCCCAAAAGAGGGATGAGTCTGGGGTGATGAACTGCCAGCACTCGCTCTTTGCTTGTGCGTTTTTACTAAATTAGATTATCCAAACTCTCAGATGATGTTGAAGGATGAAAATCTGAGCTAAAAAACCTAAATCTGATGTCCCAACTCTAGGAAAATATGATTACATCAAAGACTGATGGAGGTAGTGAGGCTAACGTGGACTGATGGTGATGATCTGAAGCTTTTTGAGGCAGCAGTTAGAGGTTTAGCTGGACGACAGAGTCTGAATTATTCAACAGACAGGACAGGGAACAGATCCTGAAGGTCTGCAGAGAGTCCACCTGCTGGTGAAGGAGGGAATCTTCTGGTCTCTGGGCAGGTCTAATGATTGATGATGAACGAACTGAAAGATGACCAGCTTCCTGAAAAGGAGCAGGGTTTGACCAGGACCCCTTCTCAAGCTCCATTTTCTGAGTCCCCATAAATATCTATAAAACACTAATATGCCCGGTTTTGAACAGTCCCTGTCACGGTTTTAACCAAACACAACAATACACCATGCTAGCATCACTGCTTTGTCTGTAGCATAAATGTCAATCAATGTTGTTGCCGAGGAACATCACCAATCCACTACGAGTCAAAGTTAAACACTGATTCGTCTGTACACGTCAATCAATCTCAAGGTTGCAGCTGTTGCTTATAGCTTAGCTTATCATACTAACAGGACCTGCTGCGTAGCGACAGGAAGGCTAGCTATCGTGCCGAAAAGGAAGTCATCGTTCTCCAAACAGCTTCAGGAGAGTTACAGCTTCCTATGAAAAGTACCAGGCAATGAACATTTTCAGTAACGCTGCAGCTCACATTGTAGTGTCTATCAAATGCAATCAGTCATGAAAAAGCTCTCTCTTCATTAAACTAATCAAATCAAGCATTCGTAGTCGTCTTTTTAACAGTTTGGTGTTGTTTTCCATGTTCATATTGTAAAAAAGATATTATCGTCTAACAATCTGTTAAAATTAAGGATTCGATAAAGAGCTGTCACAGCAGATATTCTGACCCGCCAATCAAAAGTGAAACTAATAACATGATTAACTTCTTATTTTGCAATAATTGCTGTAAGGAGATATCATAAACAGGATTAGTTCCACTTGTGATTCTCTGGAGCTGTGAAAGGTCAAAGTGTCTCCAGTAGAAAAAATAAAAAGTCTGTGAGTGTGATTCATTTGGGAATGCTGAAGAAGAAGAAAAAAATAGTGCTCTGATTCTGTCAAGATTTAGGTTAGGAAGATTTATATAAGACGGAAAAAACAAGCGTCTGCTCAACCTCGGCGGATTGAAATTATTAGCATGATTAGTGCGTGTGGTTATTTTGAAGTTATTCGTGACTATCCATCTTCTTCACAGGATGAACTCCATTGACGTGATTTAAAAAAAAAAAAACAAAGCTTGTTCTTCCCAATTATTCATGTTCAGGTTGATCTTTAAACTCAAATAGCTGTGAACATTGTTCTGTGCAGTTCACATTGGAGGAGTTTTCTTGGATAGAACATGTTGTTTCACTCAGTGGAGGCCGTCATTAAACAAATCATCTTTTTTTTTTTATAAATAATGAAGAAACAACCTACCTATCCAGAGAGAAACCTGCACTCAATCCTCAGAGGTCTGAAAGAACAAAATTCAGCTTGATATTCATCAAGGTCCTCGGGTCAAAGCCACACTGTTTTTAAGTCAGGAAATGCTGAAACATCAAGTCATGTTTTTATCACAAGTCTGTATTGATTGTTGTAACTCCCCTCTAACTCGAGCGTCACAAAAGTCAGAAAATGACTCACATGACCCTACTGTATTAGACACAGCACAGGCATCCTTGATCTTTTCAAACCAATTATAAAGTTTTTTTTTCATATTGTAATGTTAGTGTTTTTAGCATTAATCTTGTTCTTATTTTTATGTATGCGTCATTTTTGAGAAGAACAACATTTCGCTCCCATGCTTACATTTTTTATCATGGTGAGAATAAGCAGAATCTTGAATCTATCGCCCGATACATCAAAGATTTACTTTATTTTGTTTGTTACAGATCACAAAAGTTCTTCACCACTTTTCTTTTCACACCGTTCTCAAATGTACCAAAAAAGCACAGACTGGACGATTTTCTGCTCTGTATTTTTTATTAAGTACCCTAAGTAAGACAATGCGACTTTAGTAGCAGATTTTAAAACCAAAGTAAATGCTCCCTTCAGACAGGATAGGAATAGTGTTATAGATAATGGATAGATGGTTGTTGCAATTTTAATATTCAGAATGTTCAATGCTAAGCCTTAAAAATAAATTAAAGATTAAAGGAATTTAAATCTGTCTTTTAATTAGGAGTAATGTTATAGTCTAAGTCTGAGTATTTATATCTTAAAGCATGTTTTTTTGTCATTAGTGACATTATTTGGTTAATTTTGTTTGTCTGTCAAAATGTCTTGTACTGCTTTCACTTTTTGCTTTAAAGCTTTCCATCTGTATGGTATTGAATATGTGAGCCACTTCAGGCCTCATGAACGTATGAAAGCTGTTGTATAAAGTTGAGAAACTCTCAGCTTTTCTTGCCCTGAGTTTCACCTCTCAGGCTTCACACATGCTGCTCAGTCTTATTAAGTAATACCTACTGACATTTCTCAGTGCTTATTACAAATATATGGCAAACTTTTTGGTGAATATTTTCTTGAAATTCCTGATAGAAAATTCCAAAGGTTTCTGCAAATTTCAGGTAAAAGTTAAGAAAGCAACAACAATGGAAACCTTCCTAAAGTTTCTGCAATTTTTCTTTAAGTTTTCTAAAATCCATGATTATTCCAGACAAACCTACACAACATTTCTCTGTGCTGAACAGAAGTCCATGGGGAACTTTTTGTTTAACTATTTTTGTTCAAAATCCTGAGGAAAATTTCAGTATGTTTCTGAAAAGGCAACAATTTCTACCCTCCCGAAGTATTCCAAAAAAATCCTTATTAATAATCCCAAAAGTAAAAAAAAAAAAAGAAAATCTAAAAAATTCCTATAAAACCCTGAAATTTTCAACAAATTCTACACAAATAAGCCCAAATGTTTTCTGACATTCATGCAAATTCCCAACTGAACTTCCCGGAATAAATGTTGGATAGTTCTCGTGGGAAAGGAATAAGGACATAACTATACTTAAAAACATAAATTTTATATATTGTATTTATAGATCTGATTCCAAAATTTGTTGTTTCAGGTTCATCGCCGTGTTGATCCCTCTGAACTACAACAGGAAGCACGTGGACCTGCGTCAGACGGTGCTTTTATCAGCCACCTGGATCCTGGCTCTGGCGGTGGCATCGCCCGTCTTGTTCGGCATCAACAACGTGCCGGGTCGCGACCCCACGGAATGTAAACTAGAGAATGATGACTACGTCCTGTACTCGTCCGTGTGCTCCTTCTTTATCCCCTGTCCCATCATGCTGTTCCTGTACTGCGGCATGTTTCGTGGCCTGCGGCGCTGGGAGGAGGCGCGCAAAGCCAAACTGAGGAACAGCATCCAAGCCTGCCGCAAACTGCAGGAGGCTGCTGCTTCGCTGCCACCGCTGGCCTCACTGCCACCGCCTCTCCCGCCCATTATAGAGCGAGAACTTACGGATACACCGGACGATCAAGATCGGCCCTTCAACCCCTCGGTGTACATTGACGGCCCTGTGCGGACAGTTAGCTTAGCAGAGATAAAGTTCAACCCTGAACCACGCAGGAGAAAGACGGCTAAGATCAACAGCCGAGAGAGGAAGGCCATGAAGGTGCTTCCCGTGGTCGTGGGTGAGTTCACTTTTCCTTTTTTAAAGGCTTCTAATGCCACTTTCAGAGCAGATTTTTAGATCAAAACAAATGCTCTCTTCAGACATTTCCTTCATTGTATTGTAGCGTATAGCGTGGCATCTCATGGCCTGGCCTTGTATAGCATGGCATGGTCCTTACGATGGAGACCCTGATTGGGCAGTTATAGCTCTCAAGACTACTTGTAATCTTTCAACCCACAGAAAGAAGTCTGGTAATTTGACAGTAATATGTTTACTGTGGTGCAAAAAGAAAAAAAGAGACAAAACACAATAGAGAAAAAGTGAGTAATTTTGAAAAATCAAAAGGCTGCAGGCTAATGAAGCTCAATAATGATCAATATAATGATCTTCACTACAAAGGACCTGGGCCTTGATGAAGGCCAAAAGCCAAAATGTCTCACAATAAAATTGCTTTCATTACAAGGGCAGCTGAAGTTTGACCCTGTATTTCGCTTGACCTGCAAAAGGAAACAGGACTAAAGAACCGTTAGCTAACAGCCACATTTGGTCACGCCTGGAAGACTATTTCACAAACATTTAAATTAAGTTATTGGAAGAAGAAAAAAACACATTATTGATAATGTATCTGGTATTTGGATGCCTGACCTCTACCTCTGATGTCTGTTCAGAGCCACTTTAACATAAGGTTGAACTATTATTAGCAACCAGTGTTGGTTCTAATGCGCAGAAGTGCTTCCCTTTAGCACACAGTAGCTAATCCTGCAGCTCCTTAATCTGAAATCCAATTATTACGCAAAGCTGGTGAGACACAATTTTCAGTGTGCCGGTAGTTCTCAATAATCTGCAACTGCTCATCTGATGGCTCATGAGGCAAACTCAGTGTTTGGCATGGAAGCATTTAGAAAATTACTGATGTCTGAAAAAAAAAGACAAAAATTAGCCTGAAAGGTTAATAGTTTGTATACATTTAAATCCAAATCTGTACTGATCATCCTACAAGTTTTAACCAAGGAAGTTCAAACATATCTGTGGTAACGATGGCTGAGTCTGAGGACAGCTGGTCGTCCATGCCTTGACATTTAATCTGAACAATCAGAAAGGAGTATTCAACTAAACTATAAACAAAATAATGCAACTTTCAGCCCAACCAGAGAGCAACATCTCAGGATTTCCTTCCTGTCAAGGAACAGATTATGTCATGATGTAGGGTGAACAGTAAATGTCATGGATTAACAGCTACCCCATATGAAGAGTTCCAATTAGGTCACTAGCTAATCCATCAACATGATACTGAATCCCAAAGTGCTCCAAAAAAGTCTGTGCCATCACAGGATAAGTGTCTGTAAGGGAAAGCAAGTGGTGAGTTGGCTGTGTTCAACCAAATCTCTTAATTTTTCTAAGGCAATTAAATAAGCAACTAAACTCACCACACTATCTCCAACAACACACATCCTCCCAACTGAGCGGTCTATTTATGCAGCAAGCTTTCTGGTGTCTCCCTGTCATTGCTTTGCTGTCATGTAACAGTGCTGCACTTAAATACCCCAACCACCCTAGCATCAACCTGCAGGCTCTGGGGTTAAAGACATTGTGTCATCACTCCTCAATTACTGCATTTAAAATAAATCTGCGAGGAGTGATGATCCACATTCAAACTTTGTTCTGCTGCTGAAATAAATATTTGAAACAATGCTAACCTGAGTTGTCTGACTGACCTAGCATTAAGTATATCCACTTGTTATCAGCTTACCCAGGATGGATGTTGATGCAAGATGTGAACAGGGCCATTGAGACAAAAGCTGTTAAGCTATAAACATAGTTATTTCTGCTGTAAATTTTAGCATTTTGATACGGGGCTTAACAGACACTAACTGTTTTTGGATAAAGCCTCAAGTGGCCACTCAGTAACTGCAGTTTTAGGACTTTCCACATTGGTTTTATTTCCCACCCCTACAGGGTTGGCTGGATGAAGCCAAATAAACCTGAAATACCTGTATAATAATAATAATCTCTCCTCCTGCAGGTGCCTTCCTGTTCTGCTGGACTCCTTTCTTTGTCCTCCATACATTGCGAGCTCGCTGTCAGGACTGCAACGTCCCACCGGCCATGATGAGCGTGGTGACGTGGCTCGGCTATGTCAACAGCGCCATCAACCCTATTATCTACACCGTCTTTAACACTGAGTTCAGAAACTTTTTCAAGAAATTCCTTCAAGGCTGCTGCTCCAAAAGCGCCCGATAAGGACGCTACTGCTGCACAAATTTTTACAGCTGCAAGAGACACTGCTGACTGTTGATTTAGTGTCTATAGTCTTTGTTCATCGCTCATGTGTCATTCCTTTGTGAGGATTTTATTTTTCTACATTTGATGACTGCAAAGTTTGTTTTAGCTTGATATTTGCAGTGAAAAAGCTGCAGTCTGAGGAACAAAGCATTCAGAGGATCAGTAAAATATCTACATTACACAACTGACAAGGAAGGATTTTGTATGATGAGTTTCTTCCTTCTCCGAATAAAGTTTTTATGATAAATAATTAGCTTTTTAAGGAGTGTGTGTTTGTGGACTTCTGGCAATTTTGCTACAGCTTACTTTTTGTTGGTGACCCCAGACTAAACACAGAAGACATTACAATAAACAAGCAAGACACTGTAAGTAACTAACTAAAATACTCAAAGACCTAAAGTCACGTCAGCTACAGATGGTCTTAGACTCAACAAAATACTATCAAGGGATGAAATTACTAAGTAACTAGTTGTTCATATAACTACTAGAAACCAGACTAAAGCTCAAAACTGAACTACAACAAACTTGTTAGTATGATGCAGACTGACTCAAGAGTGTCCTCGGTGTCTCCACAAAGTCACCTGAAGGGACATCAAAGTTTTATGATCAGAGACAACAAACAGATGTGAAGCTTTAAAAGCTTGTCAGCAGATGTCAAACTGACTGACAGACTGACAGGCTGACTGACACACACACACACACACGCACACACACGCACACACGCACACTAGTGTCGCAATCCCTTCAGAGGATATGACACCTTTAACCAAGTCTTCCCTTGAAATTAAATTGATTTCAGTATGAGGACATTTTTTTTCCCCCTTTGGTACAAAAGGTCCCCACAGTTTGAATACGTTTCAGAATTATGTCCCCATAATGTATGTTTAACATGCGTGCGCACACACACACACACACACACACACACACACACACACACACACACACACACACACACAAAAAAAGAACCAAAAGAAAAGTTTTCATGATGCATATAATACATATTAGATTAATATTCATTTATTTCTTCAGCACATATAGGTGGTGCTGATGTCATTTGATCACTAGTTTTTCTTCCGATGTATTTATAATCTGAATATGAGAAATAACTTGATACAAAACGTCAAATAATTTAAGTGGATTAAAATAGAAATTGGTAACATGGAAATACACAAGAATAAATTAATTATTCACCTCGCTCCAGTAAGAGAACAATTCCTTGAAATCTCCAGAAGATTGAGGACAGAAGTTCATAACCATCTTTCTGTAGAAAAAACTCAAGTTAATGAAACTCCAGAAGTCTGAATGACAAAAAGAAACAAATTCTTCTTTAAATTTTGCAAATCAATCTAACAAAATATGTATGAGACATGACTATTGTTTTGAGAAAGATGTGAAAAATATGCGAGCCTAACCTTTACAAGAAATAAGTTTCCTTTTCCTGTTACAGTTCAGATAAATTTAGGAAATATCTGGTCCTGGGGGGGTTCACTTCTCTGTCACCAAGCTGCAGCAGACACCTGGGGACCTCCGAGACTGAGACGCTGCAGAATCAAATGTCAACACGTCTGAGGTGACTCATGTAGAGCAGCTCTGACAGATCACTTTACCGCTGACTGACAGAAAGATTTTTAAAAAGTTAACTGTCAAACATGCAAAAACTGAACACAGAATACAAGCTTGACAGAAAAAAACACAATTCTCTCTGGTGGAACCTGTAGGAAATGAAGATGCTGAGTTTTCCCCCTGAGACTCTAGTTGGATAAAAATACCACCGGAAACTTTTATTTTATTAATAGAGTAACTAATTAAATAAACACCTGAAGGGATAAATAAATATAGAAGGAGAGAGGTCTCGTTGAAGGTAGAGTGAGAATAAAAGTAAGTCCGATAGTCCAATTTGTCATCAATAAAGATCTGTGAAAAAACTGAGGGAAGAGCAGAAATAAAAACCACCATTTTGGTCACCAATTTAAAAAAATACATTTATTGCGATAATAACAAACAGATCTTTTATTGATGAATAAGAAGTCATCGTTAATGGCAGAGCTAATACTTTGAAACATCTTGACGTGTTTTTACATTAGTGCATTGAGCTGCGGTTCCTTTAGAGTCCACTAGGAGCTGCTTTGGTAATTAAATGAAGGGGCAAAAAAAGTTAATTTCATTATTTAAATAATAAGTTCAGCTCTCATGAAAACAGAGATCTAATTCTGATGTCAGCCTGACTTGTAAGTCTTCAGAACATTTGTATTTTTCAATAAATTATTCATACAGTGTGTGTGTGTGGGGGGGAGGGGGGCCTGCTTTCATTTCACTTTGTCCATGTCCATAGCTGTGATTGGCTCCTCCTCCTCCTGAACAGTGACGCCCCCTGCTGACTGACAGCAGGTGTGCTGATGATCCTTCCAGTCCTGAAGTGAAAATGAACAGACCGACCAGTGATTTTGTGCAATGATCATTTATATTCATTCATTTTCTTTTTGGGGGTTGACTTTAATCATGATCAGGTGTCAATAAGATCTACGATCAGTGCCAACACATCTAATACTAAATTGGTTCTGAGCAATGAGTCTGCAGTGTGGTGGGTCTTACCTTCCTCTGACAGAAGGCGGAGCAATAGTTGACCTTGTGACAGCCGGTGCACTCACTCATCGCCACCCGACCACAATTTACACACATTTGCTGCAGAACAGAAACAGCAGAACACACATGAACACAAAGGAGAACAGAACAGGTGGCAGGATGGGATTTTTTTTCTCCTAGCATTCATCAGAAATGTTTGCGTTTGTGTCTTACATTGATGATGATCTCTGTGATTTCAGAGCCCCTTTTGACCTCCGAGTCGTCTTGCTGTGGAAACGTGATCTGGTTCTGAAACGTCTGACTGAGACCGCACTGGAGGCACACACAAGCGTACAAAAAACACAAATATTCTAAGTAATAACGGCTAAAGAGTTGTTGTTAAATTACGTTTGAATTGTCATGTTCTCTCACCTCCTTTCTGATTGTCTGTCCTTTGGCAACCATTGTGTCCGCCGCAGAGTTCTTGGCCTGTTCGATCAGCGCCTTCAGCTGCTGGACATTGCTCAGCAGTGTGTTGGACAGCTCCTCCAGGTACAGCCAGGTGTTCTTCTGCCCTTCGCTAACCATGGGCCCCACCCCACTTACAGGCCCTTCCTCCATCCCGCTCATCAACGACCCCGACGGAGATGTCGCCGCTGCAGTCGTCACTGTCATCTTGGCATGAACAGGCTGAGGCGACACAGCCAGTGCCGGTAACGCCGTCAGCACTGAGGAAGAGGAGAGAAGGACAGAGGCGATTGATACAGGTCTAATCTTGAATGGAGAGAAAACAGAGCGACACAAGACTGCCACATGAAGCCATCAGAAAGGTCTGAACCAGTGTGCTAGACCGAGGTTTACCTTTACACCTGGTTGCAGTGCTGTACAGGTGTACTTCAAAACCCCATGACATCACTGATGAGTGTGGTGGCTCAGGAAACATTTTGTCGATATATCTATTTGATGAATATTTACACACCTGGTTCACATGTGGAGTGCATGCTGCAGCATCTCTCCAGTGCTGAAAGCTAATGCAGCTAGGTGCTTTCTGAGGAGTCTACCTGTTTTTCAGGTGTTTAAGGTAGAATTTAGGCATGTGAAATTGAGCCGAGCAGGTGGTCAAAAGACATCCAAATGTGTCTGTGGATCCTCTATACATCCACTGCTGACCTACATACGCGCTGCTTTAACGTATGTGCAGAGATCCACCGAGAACAGACAAGTCCAAAAATAACCGGACATCCATCTCAGGCTCCGATTCGTCCCTGGTGGGGAAATGTGTGTGTGTGTGCTCTTGCAGGTAAATAAAGCTCTGTTTATCTCATCTGTATTGAGAGCCACAGCAACATTTCTCAGTTATACTTTCTACAATGAAGCAACTGTGTTAAATCCTAGGACACTTCCTGGAAAGAGTTTTGTAAAATCGTAGGATTATCCGGTCGTTATTTTTGGTTTTTAACTCTTTGTTTCTGGTTGATTTTCTTCCAAGGTCTGTGTTAATAACAGGCAGGCACAACTGTGTATCATCATCGGCATAAAAATTACACTATTTCCAAGTTTGGGATGTGATACAATATGATTTTACCAGTGACCCCTTATAGGTCATTTGTCATTTTTACAGCTGCCCTAATAGAAAAGCAAGGCATGATATATAAGCCTGTGGCTTTTCGGCTTCAATTTGAATATATTGGAGATGTAATGGGGGGACGAAGTGATCCCCTCTCTGTGCCGCCTTTGGGGGGCAATAAACAAAGAAGTTACAAGGGCCTCTTCTGAAACTCTTGAAGCTGAAGCAATGAGAATTCACAAACTGGGACAACAATAGGGTGATACAGATTCAATATAAATGTCCAAAGTAGCGGTAGTCTGAATGACTACCGCCCTGTAGCACTCACACCCATCATAATGAAGTGCTTTGAGCGACTGGTCCTAGCACACCTGAAAAACTGCCTCCCACCCACACTGGACCCATACCAGTTTGCCTACCGCAGCAATAGGAGTACAGAGGATGCAGTTTCCACTGCGCTGCACTCTGTGCTCACACATCTGGACAATAACAACACATACGCACGAATGCTGTTTGTTGATTTTAGCTCAGCATTCAACTCTGTCATCCCCTCCAAGTTAAACACTAAACTCGGAGACCTGGGCTTCAACACCTCCCTCCGTCACTGGATAATGGACTTTCTGACCAACAGACCCCAGTATGTTAGGTCAGGACACACCTGCTCCACCACCATCACACTCAACACAGGCGTACCACAGGGCTGTGTGCTGAGCCCATTCCTCTACTCCCTCTTCACCCACGACTGCAGACCTGTACATGGATCCAACACAATCATCAAGTTTGCGGACGATACGGCGGTGATTGGCCTCATCAGCAACAACGATGACACAGCCTACAGGGAGGAGGTACAGCATCTGGCCGCCTGGTGTGCTGACAACAACCTGCTCCTCAACACCAGCAAGACGAAGGAGCTCATCGTGGACTTCAGGAGAGAAAGAGGAAGCACGCACAACCCCATTCACATCAACGGGATGGCTGTTGAACGTGTCTCCAGCTTCAAGTTCCTGGGGACCCACATCACAGAGGACCTCTCCTGGTCCACTAACACCTCCAGTCTGGTTAAGAAGGCTCATCAACGCCTCTTTTTCCTGAGGACACTGAAGAGACACCACCTGTCTTCAGCTGTACTGATGAACTTCTACCGCTGTGTGATCGAGAGCATCCTGACCAGCAGTGTCTCTGTCTGGTACGGAAACTGCTCTGTCGCAGACCGTAAGGCGCTACAGCGGGTGGTAAAAACCGCCCAGCGCATCACAAGGTGTCCACTTCCTGCCATTGAGGATGTCCAAAGAAAACGCTGTCTGCGGTGAGCTCACGGCATCCTTAAAGACTCCTCCCACCCTGCCCACAGACTGTTTACCCTCCTGCCCTCCGGCAGGCGCTTCAGAAGCCTCCGGACCAGAACCAGCAGACTGAGGAACAGCTTTTTCCCCAGAGCTGTCTCTCTACTGAACTCTACCCCCCGAACTCTGAACTCTGTCTCTCTCTCTCTCTCCCTCTCTCTCTCCGCCCCCTGCTGACCCCCACCTTTCCCCTGCATATCACCTCACACCCATCATCCCCCCACCACTCCTCCTGGTCACACACACACATCTCTCATCCTGTATTATTGTATTATAGTTTGTTCATATCACCTCAATAAGTTATCGACCTGTACAATATGTCCATATTCTTTATATTATCTGTAAACTAGTATAGCATGCTCACTGCACCTTAATCTGTATATTATAATCCTAAGAATACACTTATATTTATAGCATTTATTTATATTTATAGCATCCCATTAATCCAGCCATCCATATATACCTAATAATTCACTTTTTTTAGTCTACATCTGTAAATTTTGTAATTACTGTACATAGCACAGACTCTTGCACTTTCTGCTTATTTGCACTTCTGGTGAGATGCCAAACCTCATTTCGTTACTCTATACTTGTATATGTGTAATGACAATAAAGTTGAATCTCATCTCATCTCAAAGGCGTAATGACGCACGTACCTGAGACCCCTACTCAGTGCCTCGGTCTGTCTAATACGATGTCATCATTAATATAGTGTCAAAGTCTGCGCTTAAATCCAGGAGTACGAGGACTGAGCACAGCAGCCATTCAAAGCTCATTTGTTACAGCGAGCAGAGCTTTTTCAGTGCTGTCTCAATGCTGTGACACTTCCAGAACCAGATAGAAACTTTTCAAAACTGTTATCATTTTAAAATAAACAAGTTTCAGTCAGATCCAAGCCTCATTTGAAAACTGCAACTCACTGAAATGACACCATTTTTCTGTGATTTGTGTTGCGTCTTTCCAGTTATCATTTGTGCATTTGTATCAAAGGATTCACTTTGTTTCTATTCTGACATCTGATATATTGCAAGCTTTGCTTTTGGTCTTAATAAACATTCAAACCATCACTTAGATTTCTGACTGATATTGAATATCACTAAATTTAATTTAAATGTATGGATTGGAATGATTTAAACTGAGCCTTTGATCTGTTTTCATCATCTGAAACTCAAAAATACACAAACTCCCAGGGTGCTTCATTAACCTCAGGCTGAAGGACAAAGAGACAGTACTGACAGCTGGATCACTGGGGTTTGTGAATGTGTGTGAATGTGTGTGTGTGTGTGTGTGTGTGTGTGTGTGTGTGTGTGTGTACGCGCGTGTGCGTTTCCCAGCACTCAGATGAAAACATCAACATCTTCAGTTGACGCATTAAATGATAGATGTTTTGTCTGCTGTTTTGATTGTCAGCTGATTGAAACTAAAAATATTCACCTCAATAATAATAATAAACGTAATTAAAAATAACATTCAGTTTTATTTCCTAACTTTTACCAGATCTATCATTTAAATAGAATCTCTGATGAGTCACACACAGCGAGCAGGCCTCTCCTGAGAGCTCATTACAGGTGTACAACGGCCAATCAGGAAGCAGCTGTGGTGCCTCCCTGATGTTTGATAGGATGCTGGATAGGCTGCAGGTTCTACAGAGATGCAGGAGATGGTTTGAAAAGCTCTGCACAGATCACGGAGATGTGACACTACAGTGAGATGTGACCACTATATTGTTAACAATACAACAAGTGTCAGAAATTTTATCCCATTTTTCGCTTTGAGATAACACTTGATATGAATTAGCGCTGTACAAATACTGATTGATTGAGAATCCCCATAGGCCCAACTAATCAATATCATCGGGATACTCAAGGCAAAATGAAGCATTATGACACAAGAGGGAGTGATGTGCTGAATATCAGCACCTCTGTGAGTCGGCTGTAGAGACGAGGCCGCAGGCTGAGTGCCTGAAATAATTGAAACACTGAAGATATTAAGGTCAACATCTGGATCTTGAGTATGATATCGCCTTTATACAACATCTCTACGACCGACATCTAGAAGAAAACAGTAAGAAACAACTATATTGTTTTCTCCACTAATTCAACTAGCTTCTTAAATTTCTTCTTTTTTTTTTTAATGGTACATACTTTATTGATCCCCCAGGGAAATTCTGGTTTCACACTCTGCAACCAGTCAGTAGGGACTTGGGTTGGGATCCGGAGGGTCGTCGGGTCAATTACCGATGCGGACGCCGAATTTGGTCTGGTAGCTGAAGATGTGCCACCGTAACCACACAACCCCCCGCCCAGCTCTGGTGTGCTCCCTGCGTAGCAGCCCAACTCTGACATCTCTCTATTAATGCATGTCCACAGGTCCTGTTTGTGCATGTGTGTGTCGCATGTTCAACCACAGAGTGACAAAATTGAATTTCCCCTCGCAGGATTAATAAAGCATATCTCCTCCTTCTTCTGTTATTTAGAGACATGCTTCTAACACACATAGGACAGAATTACACGCGTGCACAAACAAGACGTGTGGACATGCATTAATGGAGAGATGTCAGAGTGAGGCTGCTACACAGGGAGCGCTCCAGAGCAATTGGGGGTACCGTGTGTTGCATGAGGGCACCTCGGCAGTACTCAGATGACCCGACCCGGCACCTCTCCAGGCCAGACCGACTTCCACATTTTGCACCGGGAGTAGTACAGTATGTAAACATTTTGATCGTTGCACGTCTCTCATCATACCCTATATAGTGCACTCACTGTATCCCACAATGCATTGTGAAAAGTAGTGTACAACTGATGGCCACAAAGCAAGCAATAGATACGATCATGCATTGGGGTTCAATGCTTTTTACGAGCAGGAAGTTGACTGCTCGCGGACGGAGAGCGACCAGCATGAACATGGAACACAAAAACACACGCAATCTAGAAGCTTTTTTAATAAAGGGATAATTTTTTTTAAAAGACTAATGTTTGTTTTTTTCTAATGATGATGACAGGCACGGGACCTATAGTCTGTAAGCACAAATAAATGAGTTCTCATTACTTATCAAAAATTCAGTCGGGGCCGCTGGAAACCTTGTGGTCAGTCCCGGCGCCCCATGTAAAGGCTGTAATCCTCAAAGCCAATGGCCTGGGTACGAATCTGACCTGTTGCTCCTTTCCCGCAAGAAAGACACAAAAGCCCAAAAAATAAACCTTTTATGAGCATTTATCAAATTATTTTTATTAGATTTATTTTTGGGCTTTCTGTGCATTTATTTGAGAGATTGTGGAGAGAGAGAGGTAGAGAGATAGATAGAGAGAGAGAGAAAGAGAGAGAGAGAGAGAGAGAGAGAGCGAGAGAGAGAGAGAGAGAGAGTGTGGGGAATGACATGCGAGAAAGAAGCCACATGTGGGATTTGAACCTGGGCCGCCCTCTTGGAGGACCACAGCCTCCATACATGGGGCGTGCGCTCTAACCGATGCGCCCCCAATCCATGCCATTATTTATTGTTATCATTTCTCCTCTGTCGACGTTAAGCTGGATATTTTAGTTTGTCGCATGTCCCTGACAAATTGACCTTCTATTATGTCGTTAACACTCAACTGAAAGAAAATGTAATGCAACTTTTACAGAAAAGTCCATTTACCATTAGGGGAGTAAATAACAGTTAATGAGAATTTAATCTAAATCAGTTCTACATCTTCATTTAAAGTAACTTTCTACCAATCCTGCCTGAATGTCTCCTCAGCACCATCTAGTGGAGAGACAATGCAATTGTTTTTTTGTCACTGAAATGCCAAAAACAAGTTTTTACTTTTCTTCTAATTTTGTTCTTTTATTTTAATTGCCCTGAACAACTCCACATCTGTCCGTCACAAACAGCCGACAACACACAGATGAAGCTCAGCGGTATGACAGCGGCGATGGGCGGTACCTGCTGTGCTGGCGAACACCTCGCTCTGCGCTGAACCTTCTGAGATGATGGCGGCAGCAGCAGCGGCGGCAGAGGCATCGTTCGTAGGAGCTCGGTCAAAAGTCAGGGTGCCGGAGGTGGTGAACTGTCCCGACGGGGACATGGTGACTGTTGGTGGAGGACAGACATGTCAGACGTGTTTGTAGAGATCCAAAGACGGTATTCAATAAGTCTTTATAAACGTTACATATCATTAAGAAGGTGGCCAACTAAAACAAGCAATATGTTCATTCAATACTTAAAAGATAGCATAACAACAGTACTGCAAAGGACTGAATTGGAAATTGAGAGAGTTCATAAATGGAGGACGTTTTCCCTCCTTACTCATGGAGTTGTTGTGACTTATGGGAGACAAAAGGTTTTGGCATTGGTTAAGTCATGAAACCTTAAACGGGCTATGATGGCTGCAACACAAGTTCTCGTTTTTGACAAGTGATTTTCTTTAAGAAACATCTTGTTCTTATTTAAGATCTCAAGATAAGAAGGGATCCTTTGGCCAAAGCCACCAGACTCTATTGACTAAAACAGTATTTTAACTTTGAAGAACAAAGGACTTACATCGCTACAGCTGTCTTGATCTGTTTTTTTTATGTTACTGTGTGTTGTACAAATATAGAGCTGGATCATAATGAACCATTTAACACTCCAAAGTCAGCAAACAACAAAAACAAAGGAGCCAAAACGACAGACCATAACTTTGTGAAGTGAAGTCTGGTGGCTTTGAAGGCAGTGATCTGCTGTTTTTCTATTTTTAAAAAAACCTTTCCATAATAAAACAAGACAGTTTTGTTTGAGTCAGTCGGCAGCAAAAAAAAAAAAAAAACTTTTAATGAAGGAAGTCTGATCAGACACCTTGTCTCCAAAGGAATAAGAACAGATTTAAAAATGACACATTTCCCCTTTTTAAACGTTTCAGAGGAAGACGTCGTGACTGCACCTGTGGAATAAACCGACTCGAGAGATGTCAACACTTTCTCTCGTTGGCATAGAGGCTCTGCTTCTTTTCAAAAAACACAAATCAGACTGAAGTCACCTGACGTACATGTGGCTCCCGGCGTTAGGGTTATGTTTTTGGCTGCTTGAAGTTCCTTTTTGGGAGGGCTGACAGGAAGGTCATTGTCCTTCTTCCGTCTCTTATACGGGACGAAGAGGCGGACTGGACCGGTCTGAATCAAGAAAGGATACAGAGAAATACATGAAATCAACACAGCATCAGACAAACAGTGAAGACAGGACAGTTTAGTGTTTCACAGCTACTTCAATATAAAGCTGTTTAAAAATATATAAACCTAATTATCTGATTAAGTAGTGAATTGTTAATTTTCTCCAAAACAAGCAGCCGTGATCAAAGAGTCAAAAATGTTACCAGGCATTTGTTAACTGTTTTAGTCGTAGATAAAAACAGGTGTGACTTATAATACTGAGGCAACAGCTTCATCAAAGGAATATAAATATATATTCACCATACTGATGTTTTCTGAAACCACATTGTCTCCTTCCTTTGAACACTGGAGAGAGAGAGAATCAGAGACAAACACAAAAAAGTTCAGCTCATGAGGTTAAATATGATATATTTTATTTATATGGGACTTCAAATGATTAATTCAACAATTCAACCCTGGACAGAAACTACACCAGCTCTAACCTGGCCAATCAAGTTACCAAGATAAACTCAAGAATCCTCACAATATTGTCGTTATTGTTGACTCTCATCGATTGTTAAATGACCGTCACACAGGACTCACCCCTGTCAGGTCATCACAGCAGGCTGCACAGGTACAGGAGGCAGCGTGAGGGTTGAGGATACGCTCCTACACACACACACACACACACACACACACACACACACACACACACACACACACACACACACACACACACACACACACACACACACACACACACACACACACACACACACACACACACACACACACACACACACAGTCCATGGACAAAGTTAACTCTGTTGTTCTTCATGTTTAACACAATTGCAACATGTCTGTCCTGAACCCGCAACAAATACAAAAAGCAGTTTTTTTCAACAACTAAATTGGACCCAATTAGCCTGTGGGGAAGCATTAGCAGGAGTACCTGTATGAGGCAGAGCAGAGGTCTGCCGGCGTATCTGATGCTCCTCTTCCAGTCTTTGCTGCTCGCTCTTCCTGCAACGCCTTCAAACTCAGTGGGCGTGAACCACTGCTGGTTGTGTCTGATGCAGCGACCTTTTCCCCCTGTACACAAAACACTCAGTGTGAGTGATACACCAGGCCAGTCAGGAGGGTTAAGTTTCCAAGTTTCTATCGCAGCCATACTAGTATAAATGGCCTTTTTGAAACAGACAAAATGCCTGGATTACTGGTTATGATATGCTGATCACCTGATCCCAGTCTGTTCTTGAAGAGCACTCCACTTGTGTTCCTGCAGCGGACGGGCAGCTCGTTGTTGTAGACCGAGGGGTCCCAGTTGTATTTGGAGCAAGAGTCTTTGTCCTGTGGTGGAGTCATCGGGGTGGGTGGAGTCTGTTGGCCTGAGGGACACACAGGAGGATGGGACAAACAGACCCAGATCAGACACAGAAACCCGTGGACCACACTGTCATTTAGAATCAGTTTTTTATTAGTATTCTTGAAAACAACACATGTTGCAGACACAACACGCGTCTGCACATCAGAGAAAAACACAAAGAGCATGACAGCTACTTTACTGACTCTGCATCTTATTTTAAGCCATTGTAATCAGACACAGCCATAAAAAAAAGAAATTTAAAAATAGACGCGCGGACTCGAGTCTGTGCGGACTCGAGTCTGTGCGGACTCGAGTCAGCTATTTTGTGGCTTATATTGAGTTATTTTAGTCAGATACAGCCATGAGACTCTGGATTTCTCCATAATGAAGGCTGTCAGCGTTGTGTACCTGCGTGCTTGTGCTCGTGCATGAAGTGTACCGTGCCGAAGCACACCTCTCCGAAGTGTGCCAAAGCCAAGACGTACCGTGTCTGAGCACGATACGGAGCGGTCGCACTGGCCAAACGAACTGGACATTAGCGTTGAAGCGTGCTTGGGCACGGTGCGGATGGCCAGTGAGACCGCGCCCTCACACATGCAAAATAAACACAAACAACAACATGTACCTGATGCCATGGATGCTGCAGACTTTAGGCCAGCAGCTTCTACGATGCTACCGTCAGTGTGAACCACGATCAAAGTGGCTTTCTGCGAGCTGAGACCCTCACCAAGCTGGAGGGTGGTCCTCCCACTCTGTGACACAGAGACACACACATTAACAAAGGACTGAAATCAAAAATTGGAATAAAACAGGTTCAAGAAAAAGTTAAATAATAAAAATAACAAACTTATACTAAGGACTGTGCGTAAACGTTGCAGCTGTTAAGTGTTACATGTTGCATGAAATCTTAGAGTGTATTGTGACAGCATGAGCTGCATGCACATAGAAACAGTGAGTGTGTTCATCTACCAGCATGTGTTCAGGGAGACTTCCTGACGTGGCAACTGTTGTGGTAAAAACGTTGTCCTCTGCAGAATGAACTCCTCCCACCGTCACGGCCGTCACCTCTGAACAACAAGAAATTAAAATATTTTATATTCACAGAAATCTTCAGATCAGTACTTATACTGCAACATTTCTACTACAATTGTCATTTTCACTATAAATGATAATGTCTCTGGGTAAAACTCAACATGTTGATAAGATGACAGCGTACAAAGCTACACAGGGTTATACAGGAAACTAAGGGAAATATCAAAAAAATCTTTTCTATGACATACCAATAAGTGTGTTTGTCAGAAAATAATTAATATTGTAGGTGATGTCCCTGACAATAGACTTCACAGTGCTGAAGGCTTACATTAGAAAGCTCTCTTGTTCAGATGTATCCTCATCAATTTAGACATCAACTAAGTCAGAGTTGAATTAATCTAAAGCTCGATTTTAAATTTAATTCCAAAGATGAGAAATGTTTCATTTTTTTATGCTAAAAATAAATAAATTACAAGTTTTTTAGAGCTGTTTGGCTGACAACTGGGGCCGCCTGACCAGTTGGGAGAGCCCAATTTAAACCCCTAACCAAATCACGTACAGAAATAATATATTTTATTCTATCATAACTTGAGGATAGACGAAACGACATCCTTTTAATTTATTTGTAGATCAGCACATAAATAACCTCTCTTCAGTTCAACATGTATGAATTATGATATGATAAAAGAGACTTCACCTCATCTAATTAACTCACTATGTTGTGCTAACTCTTGGATAGCATTATAGCTCTAAAGTGTAAATATTAAAGATGGAAAGTTGATAAATGATTCCAGTCAAAGCCGAATTTGAGGCAAAATCATAATTTAATATATGGGATATTTGTATTGTGAGATATGCAAAGTATAACCTATCGATAGGGTACTATTCTTAAAAATGGAAAATATATGAAAGGGGTTTGGCAGCAGACGTACTGGTCCTTTTTATCTCAAATTCTAAGGAAACTCATTGTAGTTAATAAAGATATCAGAGATGATAATTCTCGTGTGAAATGTCGTTGATTTAGTAGTTGTATTCAAACATTCACTAGACCGCTGTATCCTCAGTGAAACATGGAGTAAGGCTTATTTACATGATCACTGTTACAGCCACACTTTGTGTTTTTAGCGCCACCCCGCCGAGCTAGCCGGCTTGCTAACTTAAAGCACGCCTTGCCTGCGAATGCCGCCTCGGCCTCGTCAGAGTTCGGCAGGGATTCGGCTCCCATTTCGATGTTTCCCGGTTCGGCCATCACGGCCATCGTGGTAACTTCGGCCTCCGATTCGGTATCCGAGTCATCCCCCGGCTGAATGCCGATGGGCGGTTCAACCAGCCCGAGTGCCTTCGTGGCCGAGTCCGCTTCGTCCATTCTTCCGCCGAACGACAAAAGCCGAATATGAACGAGCGACTGTGGGAAGGAGCGCGCTCCGAAAGCCACCGTGCCCAGAACGAAGCAGAGATTAACTGCTAATGTTAACGATTACTATTTAATAAAAATGGATTCCACAAAAAAATCAGGTGGGTAAATCCGAGAGAGAACGGCCGATCGGCTGTTTTCATGAAATCTCTTGATGCACCGGAGACTGCCGAAAGAATACGAGCGTTTCCGGGACGACACCCAGCGGCTAATATCCGCACATACAGAAAGACACGTAAACACACACCTACATTTTTCTACCTTTAGATCTGTTTGATTGATTCATGTGTAGAGATTTCTAGACAGAGAACGCAACTACAAAGAAAGTTTTTTTTTTTAAATTGAATTATTTATTTTCATTTATTTATCAAAACAAAATCTTATTTTTTCAGTTAAACTATTATGAAAATAAAAATATACTCCTTTCTTAAAGTTTTGATAAATTCAAGCCATAAATTATTCTTATGCATACATCAAATAATTCCCAAAACAATCCCAATCACCTTCAACATGTACCCCACTGAAAACCCTTCATTTTATATATAGATACATTAATATACCAAATATAGTCTGTAGAGAGTTAACAGAAAGACACCTGGAATGTAAACAGAACAGAAAGGACTCTAGCTGTCTTACATAAAGCCAAAATGTAATAATGGTATGAAACATTTATGTAAATTATGAACAGAACCGGTGTCAACATTTTTCAATGAATGTTAGAAGTAAACAGGCTGAACCCTCAAACACACACTGAGCTTTATGTGCTGTAACATTAAAGGGGAATTTAACTGATGTTTAAAGGATTAAAATAATATTTTAACATGTTGCAGTTTAAAGTTTGAGTATTCTTCTATAGCCCTGTTAATCACAATGTAATCCTTTTCTTTGCATTGATCTTCCTTTAGTAATATCAAAGGTTTAAAAACGATTTAATGACATGTTTTCACTTTTGTATTGATCCTCTATTTCCTTTGTGAAACGATATGAGATGATAGCATATTTGTGTTTAATTCTGTATTACTCATTTTTTCAAATCTCAAAATCCTGCTGACATTGTTCTGTGCAAATCTCATTACAATGTAATCCAGACATCCCCTGCTGGTCAGTTCAAGGATTCAACATGTTTTCTGTCTTCTTCCAGTTTGTGTTCTCACTCCAGAATAAGTCTTCTCCTGACAACAGATGATTGAATCAAGAGTCTACAGTCTCAGTTCAGCATCAGGACCAGCTTCTAGCCCTTTTGGTTTCTCTGTCAGCTTTGAATCCTGGAGACCATGTAGTAGAGCAGGAAGAAGGCCACGACCAGGCCCACAGAGACATAGCAGAGGATGCGGCGGTTTTCCCTGCCAGATCGGACCATGGTGGAGAAACGCTTCACGCTGCCGCTCAGTAGGCCGGTCGCACTCATGAAGTTTGAGTCCTGAGAGGGAAGAGAAGAATGTAATTTAAGCCCTACACACCTTAATCAAAATGAGAACATATCCACTTCTATTTTATACTGTAGATTTTTTTTTTAACAGTCAGTAAATATTAGTTCCCAACATATTGTTTTAAAACACATGCAAGTATCACAGTATCTAAAATGGTGACAGCCTTCATGAAGAAGGACCTTTAAAAAATTAAAACAATTATCAATTGGTTGCCATTCAACAACTACAGAACCTGAGGCTTTAAATGTGTGCTGATAACTTTAGAAACATGGAACATATGCTGTTGTAGAACATGTAAAACAAAAGTCAGCCTCTTACAAAGAAATCCTTTGAGAAAAATAATGAATTACATGATTTACCTGCCAGGCCATCAGAAATCATGTCTTTCCAAATAAGTTTTGGGTAGCTTTAACACACGCTGATTCTTGTACTATAGTGCTTGACAGAAAAAAAGGACTCACCATGCCGTCCAGATAGTCATTCTGATCATCCACCTCTCTGTCAATGTCAAACGCAAGCTGTTGGATTTAGAGACAGGGAATCAATGTTATCTGACAGATCTACCACTTGTTTTTTTTTTGTTTTTTTTTAAGAAACATGCGGGTTAAAGGCATTCAATTAATATTTACATCATCTTATATTTGCTTAAGCACACAGTCCGTTTTGATTATATCAGAGTTACATAAATATCCACAAGGGTTTGGTCAGATAAAATGATCAGCCATCATAAGACAAATAGCGAGATAAGTTGTCTCTTTTTAACAACTCACAGATTTCAGTCGGGAGACTTTGGTGGCCAAGTTCTCTGCTATCCGTTTGTTTTCAGCATCCAGCATGTCATTTACAGAGTCATGTCCTGTAAAACAAACACATTTCACTAATGTTAAAAACGATTTTCCTGTTAAAAGTCCTCAGTAAGTTCTGCAGTTGATCCATACCTTCACAAAACATTGAAATGAATTAACTCAATAAACAAACTCATTCAGTATAGCCTACACTGTAATGCAGTGGTTACCCACATTTTTTTTGCTCATGACCACACTTTGACTTCTTAAAACTCTGGCGACCCCAGTCATCCAAAACACATACAGACTTTTGCTCAAATTATTGTTTTCAGCCATAGCTTTCCTAGTGTCTTGCAAGCAAACAGATTCATTTTAGACCACATTAAGGCTTTCTCTTGCATTGTGGACCGAGGAAGAAAGGCTGGGATGACGTTTCAAACAGAGAATCTTCAAGTTTCTTATTTTGGCATTGGCTATTTCCTACAGTAGCCAGTGTTTAATGTAATATAAATAATAATTTCAGTCGGCCCCATTTAAATTCCAAGCGACCCCACGTGGGTTCAGGACCCCAAGGTTGGGATAACCTGCTGTAATGTGTCAATGAGTAAGCCTATCACTTCATTTTACAAGCCCCATAGAATAACCTACTAATCACCTAAAAGTGAATAATTTGTAAATGCCAGGAGAAACATCTGAAACGCGTGTAAGATTATACATGTTTACAAAAAAATACGGGAAAAAAATAAAATCACGAGAAATTATTACAGAATGAATATGGCAGTATTTTTGTGTGTGACGTCATCGTCATAAAAAAGGTTCTTCGTCGGCACGGGGTTTCCAAACCTATCAGCCCCTGGCGGCAGGGTTTAACATTTTCCGATTGTGACTACTCCTTCAAATATCCGCGGATCTCCATAAAAAAAGGTAAATTCATACATATATGTGGATTAGACAATTATTTTGGGGTAAATTTGCAAGAGGTTACTGTGGTAAAGTATAAGATAGTCACACTGCGCTGTCGGTTAGCTAACGTTAACGTCAATCGAGCATAAAGACTTGCAGTAAAGAGAAGCTATAAGACAATTATAAAGTTGTTGTTTTTTAAGCAGCTAATCTCATTTTACTAAAAACAAATACAAACCCTCTTGTTAAAAGTGAAAAGTAAGCATAAGTTTAAAACTGGCGAAATGTAATAGCCTGTATGCTAATGGAGACGTCAAGCGACCGTGCATTCACGTACTGTCATAAAAAAATGGGGGAAAGAAGTTTCTAAGCGGGAATACATTTTGAAGTGTTCCTCATGTCGGAACAACAACCGGATAGTTTGAGAAAACGTATGTATGTCACTAGCCAAGGGTACAGCACCCACTTTATGTGGTTACCAATTCAGAATTTAAAGTTTAATTATTTATTATTTATTGTTTCATTATAGAATATCTGCTCAGTGAATTGTAGAATATCCGAGCTTTGTGGAGAACTTGAACACAAGTAACGGTAGAAATGTCAACGTCTAAGTTTAAAATGTCACCTCAACGGCTGTTTCACGAGAACTTACGATGCGTTTATAAATAAGTTTGATCCTTATTTACTTTGATTATACTCTGTACTGTGTACTCTGTATTGTGTACTGTGTAAACTGTACTCTGTATTGTGTACTCTGTACTGTGTACCCTGTACTCTGTACCCTGTACTCTGTATTGTGTACTCTGTACTGTGTACTCTGTACTGTGTACCCTGTACTCTGTACCCTGTACTCTGTATTGTGTACTCTGTACTGTGTACTCTGTACTGTGTACCCTGTACTCTGTACCCTGTACTCTGTATTGTGTACTCTGTACTGTGTACTCTGTACTGTGTACCCTGTACCCTGTACCCTGTACTTGTGGTTGAAATGACAATAAAGATAACAGGACTTGACTTACAGCTAACATATTTAGTGTTGTCGGCAGTATATTGTTGTTATATTTATATATTTATTGTTGTATAGGCAGGTATGCTACATATACCCACATATGTTTCTGTCTCCATAGGGTGATTCCCTCTTATTCACCACTTACCTTTGATTGAATTGTAATATTCAGTATTATACTGCATTTTTTTTCCTAGGATGCTGAAGGTATCAGTCTATCTACTCTGTTTCTAATTGGCAAGTACACACTGACTAAATATACAAAACTAGTCCTACATGTCATTTGTTATTACAGAGGCTGTTTATCCTTTGCTGGTCTGGCCACAAAAAAAAAAAAAAAAAAAAACATTTGGGGAAAATTGGACAGGACGGTCCGGTTCAAGAAGGGCTTGTGCTGTTAGTGTGTGCTAAAGTCATCGACACAGACTACTGCGTCTTATCAACATGTATTCTAGTTTTTAAAATCAGAATATTAAACTAATATAAGCAAGCCAACCTAAGTTATACCAAACACAAGAAATCACCTTTTCAACTGAATATTAGATGATGGAGTCTAAATTCGGTATCAGCTTTTTACGTCTTGCATAAAAACTTATATTTATAACAGATTTGTGGACCGAGTAAACAAAGCCATTAATAGACTGATATTTTAGACAGTTCAAGTTTTCATTTTTACCAAACAGCTAGTTAGCCTGTTAGCTAAGCTCAGGTCTGTATTTGTCTCTAAGTAAAGTGACTGCTCAAAACAACAAACATAAAACCGGTCTGTCCTGACGTTAAGATTTTAACCTCCCTTACACGAATGATACATTTAATCTGTAGCAATGGAGACGGTTAATGGTTGTACGTTTAGAAGTGAATACGTGTCAAAAAATAAATACCTCTATTCCAGTCCGCCATGTTGCCGAGTGACGTCACGATCAGCTGTGTGTACAGCGATTGCGTTTAGGTTGATCGATGCACGTGATAAAAAAAAACTAATCCTGTTGTTCTTCTTTTTATTTTTTTCCTGTTTCTGTCTCTGGTTTTAATTATATATCAGACATGTGACACTTAATCTCATAATCTGAAGTTTTCTAGACTCAGAGTTGCTCAAGAATGTGCTGTGTATTGTTAATGTCTGACCACTAAGTGGCATTACACTTACACACAAGTTACAGAAGTCACAATGCAGACAGTTGAGATGATGCTTGGTCAACTTGTCCTGAAGAATTAAGCTCTTTACAATAAATTAAATTAATTAAGAAAAAAGTATATATATATATTTATTATGTGTGTGTGTATATATATATACACACATAATATATGTACATATAATATATACATATTGTGACATAATATTATGTCATAATATGTGACTCTAGCAATTATGACATTCCATATTATGACATATACATATGTCATATATAATATATACGTGTATATATTATACATTATATATATATATATATATATATATATATATATATATATATATGAAGTCATTCTACAGATTTTCATCTTGTTTTAAGGTTTGAATATATCCGTTCAATCCACACCAGTCTCTATCTCACTCACCTATAAGTGTTATAACATGCATTTATTTTTGTTGTAGATTAAGATTTAAAAGTTGGTATTAATATTAGGTCACCAGAGCTCTGATTGGAAAATGGTGATGGCATTGGGCTTGGTCAATCTTTGGCTGAATGTCAAACGATCCTGTGACTTACTACTGTGTTGGTCTTTTTAAGACTGCAGGGTCAAAGGTCATACCAGTTCTGACTTAAAAAAGGTATCATGCAAATGTGAATCAGTGATTTCACCCTTTGTGGATTGGGTGTGTGTTTGTTTAATCCTCCTGTGTCTCCATGTGCTGTAATCCACCTGTGTGTGCGTGTGTGGAACCTGATGTGACGTCAGACTGCATCACTGCTCAGTGGGGGGAAGGGATTTAATGCATGAGTTTTTGTGTGTGTGTTTAACCCCCTGTCTGTGATTTTACATGTTCTACTTATGTGTTTAGACCTGGAGGAATAGTTTTCATGGTCACATATATAAACTTGGTGTGTGTTTAGACCAGGTGTGAGTATACCTGGTCTACGGAGACCTGGTATGTTTAGAACTAGTGTGTGGACCTAGTCTCTGTTGCCCTGCTGTGAGTAGACCTGGTCTGTTGAGACTGAGTGTGAGTACCTGGTCTGTATGTATCTGTTGTAGACTTGGACTGTGCCACTTTAGATATGGTTTTGATTGACTCTGTAAGTTTGGACTGAGATGTGTAGATGTGTAGGTGTGTGACTTGAAGACCTGGTCTGTCCCTATCGGCAGGAGGAGCTGCAGCAGCAGGAGCAGCCGTCTCTCTGGCGCTGACTGAAGCCACAGATTGTCTAATTAGATTAAGCGAGGCTTTCCACAGATAATCATTTAGCCGGCTCCTGTTTTTTCCTACGATGGAGTGCTGCTTGTGCTTGTGAGCTTGCTGAAGGTCAAACTGAATTTCTGAGCAAGAGCCTGTTTTTGGGAATAAATTGTGGTCTTGGAGCAGGTGTGCAGACTGCCAGCTGAGGAGCTGTGGTCAGGTTATGGGCTGTTTCTGGACCTGGGAGCGTGAAGCTGCTCAGAGTAATCAGAGTGCCGCTAATACCTGCTGCTGCTAACAAGAGGCGATGGGGGAAGTTTCTGTAAGTAAAGCCTTTCTTGTCCTCACTGCTGAAGCAAAAAATAGACAATAATGCTAAAGCAGGAATACAAATAGTTTTTTCTGTTTCCTGACTATTTGTATTAATATCCTGAATGTATTGTGTATATCAAATAATTTCCCTCTTTGCTAATGATAAGTTCATTTGTAACTGATAAACAGAGAATTTATAACAAAATTCAAAAGATATATAGCCTTGCTGTGTTTCCTGCTGTACACTGAATTTATTTTGCACTTTTAGTTTGAAACACTTATAAGGCTCTTGCTCTGGACAAATTAAGCTGCAGGTTTTATTCATTGATATGACTGCCATGACTTCTGTTCAGCATATTCTGCTCTCAGAAGCTCCTTCTTTCTCCTTCAGCCTTAAACAGGCTGCTTCTCTCTTGTTCAGATTAAGCCTCGACTGACTGATTGACACAGATTACATCTGAAAGCACAGAGGTCACAACCTGTAAAGAACAAATATAAATGCTTTTAGTTCACGTACTAGCAGGTGTTTAAATTAAAAGACCAAGTCTTTTCCAAGTCAATCAACAGTTTGATTGTTTTTATGAACTGGGGTCGGCGATCATAGCAGTGTGAGGGATGGTGATTGGATTGGGTTGCTCAGGTCCTGGCTCTCTTTCTTCTGTGTTTCTTCTCTGGTTTAGGGCTTTTAAGTGATACGGCTTGTAACTGATGAGATGATACAAGCGGAGGGGGTTGCTTAATGTAGCCCTGCTGTCCAGGATAAAGCCACTATTGTGAACACTTTTTGTTGATTAGTTTGTTCTTCCCTTACTTAATGTCTTAATGTCTCCCCCATGCTGCTGCTGTTCTTGAAATCTTGTAAAGCATTATTGAATGCTTGCTGATCTAAGAAAATAAAAAAAATAAAAAGTTTCTTTCCAGCTGACTTTAAACCATCTGGCTGACCCTTGAAGAGAACTGATGTAGTGCTTTACAGTGGAGGTTTAATGCTTGCAGCATCACTTTATTTATTACACTATCAGTTATGTTGCACTTGCCCACATGTTTTAATTTGAAGATACTGTTTTTGTGTATTGATAATTGGGGAAAATAATTAACTCTAACAGAGTCCAAGTTCCCCCTGGGTAATCCCAACCACATAAAAAAGAATGTATATGTTGTTATTGTTTCGCATGATCTCGTTATTTCCAAGCATCAACAATCTCTATTACTACTCTATTGACATCATATTATTTGCCAGAAAAAGACTAACTAAATATATTGATTCCTTCTAAATATTGGTCCTTAAAAAACCCTCCCATATAATTTGTATGAAAATGTAGAATGAAGGGGTGTTGATGGCCCATCGATTAGGTCGTGCCCCTTCTATGTGGGCTGTAGTCATTCTAACAGGCAGCTTAGGTTCGAGTCCAATCTGTGTCTCGTTTCCCATATCTCCCGATTTACTACTCTCTATGCACTACACTATCTAAAAAAAGGGAAAATACCCCAAATAAAAAAAGAAAGAAAATGCAAAGTGGAAACAGAGCTAAGGTACCTTTGTATCCTGTGTGCCCAATTTCAACATTTTGGCGCTTTAATGCCATTTGTGTGATAATGTTTCTACATTTTTCCCCAGAGTTTCTAATTTGATTTCCAAAGGACCTCTGATAAAACAAAGATTTTCTGTCACCCTACAGTCACACAGTCCCCATCAGGCCAGATCTGCACCTCAGGCTGACCACTGAGCCTGTGTTTATCTGGAAGGCCTCTGTCGAGTCCCTGTGGAAGACATGGCCAGCAACTCAGTTCGGGGGTCCAGACATGGCCGACGCGCCGAGGCCAACCATGAGGCGGAGTTCAGCTGCTCACTACAGGATCTGCGCGCTCTCATGGAGCTCAGAGGACCAGAATCTGTGACCAAGATTCAGGAGTGTTATGGAGATGTTAATGGACTGTGTGCCAGACTGAGGACATCGCCTGTTGATGGTGAATATGTTAAAAAGCTCTGCCATTGCCACTGTCATTTTTCATTTTCTGTCTGCAGATTCTTTATAAACCAACAGGTCACATTGCCTGCTAGGGCACCAAAGCCTCAGAAATATGAATCTAAAACTAACCTGCAGCCTCTTTTCTTCTCTGCCCTCTGTTAACTTCAGGACAGTATCAGACAAAGACAGTTACAGTTAAAAAAAAATGCATGTAAAGTTCACAACAGCTCGAAAAAGTTTAGCTATCTTCCTGTTTTTGAGGCAGTTATAGGGATGTGTTTTCCGAAGTTTCACAGAATTAGTTTAAGCGACTTTTTACAAAGAACGCCATTGAGAACTTTGTTTTTTGTTCAATTCTGAGCAGGAACTTTCATCAATGATGTAAAACAATCACAGAGTATCTTAAACCAGGGATGCATTGAACATAGAATAAATCAGTCATTTGTATGGTATTGGCAGTGGTAGTAATCTTATTAAGCAGTAGGAATCGGCTTGGGATCACCAACCCAAATTAAATGCAGTGTTTCATCATCAATGTCATTTAAAAAATCAGTGTCTGCAGATGACCAGAGGTGTTTTGTGTTAGACATTTCATGCTAAAAACAGACTCCATGACTCCACTGGGACTTCTAGTTTTGACAGAACCCTTCACTGCTTTTTGATAAATACCCTGCTGTTTGTATGTTTCAGTACCTGTAATACAAATAGCAAGTCTGTTTTCAGACCAGTGACCTTCTATCCTTAAAAAAATGCTTAAACATATTTTTTTTATAAATGCAGAGACCCACAGACTATATTTAGGAAAAGCCTCTTTTTGTTTGTTCTTTATTGTGTTGTTTGTGGTCAAACACAGCCGTTATTCAAGTCTTGCTTTTATTTGACTACAGGCTTTTACTTCAGGTGATACTGAGTCAACTTTTGTCAAGATGAGGCAAACTTAATATTAATGACACTGACGTGTGTTACACTGACCTTGGGACAGTGAATTAAGTGCGTGTCGTGCTGACCTCTAATGCTTTGGACTCTGTGCATTTGTGGACTTAGTGTTTCTAATACGTCTGCCCTTTGACATTTTCCTCCTCATCATTAATTCATTCAGTCTGTCTGTATGTCTTGCACAGTAAACACCTACAGCATTTCGACTCCTGCTGACAGAGAGAGGTAAAATGTCAGTAGCAGCTTGAAATCAGTGGAAAATCCATCACACTGCTTTTCTGCGCTCTGTGTCTTGAGGGTGACAGCCGGCAGGGGGGATCCATTTACTTATAGAATGTAACCTCTGTTACCTGAAAGCATACAAAATAATAAGTACTCTGCTACCTGAGTTTCATTTTCTGTAATGGATGTATGATTTTCAAACATGATGAAGAGTGCTCGGTTTAAAACCTGTTCAAAGTGACCGAGTCTGCTGCTGCATGCAATGTGTCCAGAGGGATCTGAGCATGTTCTGACATGTTGTTCTGCTCCCCAGAGAAAACCAGTCTGCTCCCTGCTCACATACAACACTACTCTAAAATACTGGAGATAGACACAAACACCAGGCATGTCCCCTTTCTTTAAAGTTACATTTATTGGATTTAAGACTTCATTTAAAACAGATTGAAGCAACTGAGGTGGCCATTACTAAACTATCCAGAATGTTTCCTATGCCTCACTGATACTGATGTGGCATAAATTTACTTGCTTCCATATTTTTCCCTGTACAAATAGACATAAATAGAGATTATCTACAAATAAATAGTTGAACATGGCTTGAGTTAGTGTGGGGCAAAGGTATTTGCATTTAATAGTTAGCCACACTGTGCTGACCTATTACCTTTTGATATTGATAAATCAAAAGTATTTCTTTAAAATATTTATCAATTGCTTTATTTTTGACTGTAGACAACAGAATATACATGGGGTTTGTGAAAATGTTTATATTTTATTGGAACGTCAGTAAAAAGAAAACACTGTTTTATAAATGCTCAAATAGAGCTTTCTGACAACTGTACACCAATCAATCCAGAAGACCAAAACATACCCCGTCTTCAGCAAGACTTCAGAGGTGTCTTAAAGCAAATGTCAGATGTGCTTATCTAAATACCGATACTTTAGGATCAAGCTGGGAAAATATGTTCTTCCTTTCTATTGTAAATTCCTGTAGGTGGAACTTGTTTATTTTGTTTATCTCAGCATCTTTCTGAAATGATTTGTTACTTGTTACTCTTCCGAGGTTTAGATCGTCATCAGTGTGATTAAACCTCAAGAGTGTGTTTTAGTTAGTGATGGATCACATTCATCACAAAGTGAAGTGTCACATTTGTATTTTGAAAAAATCTCAAAATCAACACATTTGTACGTTTAGAATTTTTTTTGTACGTTTGTACGTTTGGAAAAATTCCCAGTTTACGTATTCTAGTTCTTTTGAAATAAATATATATTTTTAACAAATGGTTTTAAACATGTATCAGTCAGAAATATTCTTTGACCCTATGTGCACCCTAATAATCATTTTAATACATTGCTGTACAATATTACACATTATGGACCTCTGGAAACTTTACAATAAGACTTAAGGATTACGTTTTAACAAACATGATGATTCTGTAAAGGAGCAGACATTGTTTCAGAGAGGTTAGGATTAAGAATTTACTTGGATGTAAGATTAAATGTAAAGTCGCAGGGATCAGAGGAGGACATGTTTTTAATGCCATGCGTTTGTCTCCACCTGCAGGTTTAGACGGAAGTTCAGAGGACATCGACCGAAGAAAACAGGAGTTTGGACAGAACCTCATCCCTCCTAAAAAGCCAAAAACCTTTGTGCAGTTAGTCTGGGAAGCCCTGCAGGATGTGACTTTGATAATCCTGGAGGTGGCAGCCATTATTTCACTAGGCCTTTCTTTCTACAAACCACCAGATGCTGAGAGACAGAGTAAGTTGATTGTTTGTTCAAATCAAACCTTTATCTCTGATTGTCTTGGTAATTAGGGACTCCACTAATAATAGAGTGCAGTAAAAAAAACATTTTACTGTCCTAAAAAGACTGACTTTTCTCTCCCTGGTCCCTTAGGCAGAGTGGAACATACAAACTTTCTGCTTTTAGTCAGTTACAAACAGGCCTGAAATTAACTTTTTGACTCACTGGCCAAGGTGGCAGTTAGCTGAAAAAATTCACGAGACAAGCAACATTTTTTGCTGGCCAATATAATAGAAATGTAGTTTTTGTGTCACATACACATTTGTTTCAGTATATTCAATTGAGTTAATAAGGTATTATGTTCCGTTGGATCGGATCACAGATTTAAGACACAGATTGAATAATTTCATCAGATCAGGAAATTAAGAAATGGTAAAACATGTTTGCTCGCAGTAGCAGGGCCCAGCCCCTGGATCTGCCCCTGCAGACTTTGTTTATCAGAATTACAAACACACAAAAATTTATTTTTTGAATAATAAATTTGCTTTAATCCACAAAACTTTATCTTTTCTCAATTTAACTTTGACAATGTTAAACATGTAACATTTCCAGACCGTTCATCTAGCGGATGTGTATGTATCACTGACTGCGTTTAAATTTACAGACAACAGCAGGCTGCTGGATAAAGTTACGATCGTTTAGTAACTGATTGTTGATAAATGCAGACACGGTCAGAGTGAATGGAGAGAAGTCGAACTGACCATTCGACAAAATCACTTGCTTTCCTAACCAACTATGTTTAGCGTTCTGTGTATCAGTGTATGTTAGTTTGTGACAGTGCCCCTGAGACACAGAAGAGGGAGAGAAAGAAGCTGCAGCTAAACCAAACATGTTTATAGCTTGGCCTATTTTCAATATTCATGATGATTCTTTTATGTTAGTTACGGTATATGACATGTGGCTAATAGCCCTCTGAAATTTACTTGCCAAATCAACCCGCATTTGGCGGTTGTTCATTTCGGACCCTGGTTAATTGACATACTTTTTGGTAACATTCATTTAGCTACCATCTCTTTCTTTTTTATTTTGTTTTGGGCTTTCAGCGTTTTTATTTGGATAAGGTAGGAAATCAGGGAGAGCATCTGGGATGCTTCGTTTGTCTGAATCGACTATAAGTCAGATAGGCAACAAAATATTAAGGCTACAAAAATACCAGTATGTTTAAAATGAAATTACTTTTTAGCTGTAATCCCAATAAATACTTCTCTGTGACAACAACACAGACTATTGTTTTTAAATGATTACTTTCTATTGTAAAAGCAAAAGGGAAAAGTAGTTGGGGACTGTTTTCCCAAAGGAAGAGTGACTTGTCCTTTGAATCTTGGATCCTTGCATAACAATCAGAGGTCTCTTCCTATCTAGGTGAAATGGTTGAGTTTATGGAAAGGCAGGAAAATTAACTAACGTTGAATTATTCCAGAACTTTAAATCCAGTCTGTGTTGTCACTATTCAGATTGTGGCAGTGCAGCCGGGGGCGTGGAAGAGGATGGTGAAGCGGAGGCAGGATGGATTGAGGGTGCTGCCATTCTACTGTCAGTGGTGTGTGTGGTCCTGGTGACGGCCTTTAATGACTGGAGTAAAGAAAAGCAGTTCCGTGGCCTTCAGAGCCGCATCGAGCAGGAGCAGAAGTTCACCGTGGTCAGAGGGGGCCAGATGGTCCAGATCAAAGTATCAGAAATTGTCGTCGGCGACATTGCACAAGTAAAATATGGTAAGAGACCAAAACCTTTAACAATAACAAAATGTATTGTTAAGGTAAAAGTTTCCTTGCATTTTAATGGTTTCTAAAGATAATGAGTGAAATCCTCCCTCATCAAGTCCCAACATAACTATTCAAAATATTAAGAAAGAAATATCATGATATTAGGATTGGTTATTGTTTGTATTTCCTGCAGTTGTCATGCCACAGACAGATGCTGTAAGGATGATGTAACATAACGATTGATGAGGATGAGCTTTAATTATAGCATACTTGTGTTACTTTTTGTACCAGGTGACCTCCTTCCTGCTGATGGCATCCTGATTCAGGGCAACGATCTGAAGATTGATGAGAGCTCTCTGACCGGAGAGTCAGATCATGTCAAGAAGACTCTTGACAAAGATCCCATGCTGCTGTCAGGTGCTTCTCTCAACTCCATTCATGTCAAAAAAACTGCCAAGGTCAATGTGACCTGAGCTGTTATTGTCAGCTCCACTATTAGATCTGTCTATCTTTCTAGTCTTAACATGTGTGGAATGAACAGTGAATTACCCTTATAAGGAAAAAATACAACACAAAAAACCCTAATTTTGTCACAAAATCAACACACAACAGATTTTTTTCAAATTACTTCATGTATCCTATCCTAAGGGTTGTACAAAGGAACTAAATAGAACCATCTCTATGGGCTGCTCGATTTTGTCCAAAATCCTAATCAGGATTATTCGTATTAATATTGAGATCAAGATTAGTAAACACAGCTACTGATTGGTTTTACAACATCATGTTCACATGCATTTATCAAACTTAAACTCTTAACACTCACATTCAGATGCTTTGTAAAACAAGCAACACATGAAAACAGTGCACACACTTTTGGTACAACAACTTTAAAGTAGAGCAACAAAGAAGAGATCCCTCTAACAGAATATAAAGTTATACTCCTGGTGTAGTTTTTAAAGCTTAGACAGAAATAACAATGATAAAACTCCTCTCTCTTTCTCTCTCTCTCTCTCACACTCTCAGGTACCCATGTGATGGAGGGTTCTGGCAAGATTCTGGTCTGTGCTGTCGGTATTAACTCTCAGACTGGAATCATCTTCTCGTTGCTTGGAGCCAGTGAAGAAGATGGAGAGGAGAAAGCGGAAAAAGAAAAGAAAAAAGAGAAGCTGAAAGAGGAACTGAAAAAAAAGAAGATTAAGGACAAAAAAAGTAAGTTCAGCATATGCTCTTTATCACTTCTTGTGATACATCACAGCTAAGGGCCCCATAAAGAGCAGAATTACTTGTGCATCTATGTGTGACATGTATCTACATAGCTGACAATAATACAGAGTAAAGCGACCCCAGACTGTGATATCGAACAGAGCTCACATTTCAACACATTTTTGGAAGTTAAGGGAACTCTAAAGTATGGTTCATATCGACATGATTTTTAAAGTGGTTGTTTAAGGCACTGTATTGGAAAGTAGATACACTTCTGTTTAAATATTTGGACTGAATCTGACTTTATAAACTGCCTTATCGTAACCTTTTTGCAATTTCTGTTATAACCACTTTGAAGCATGCACCCAAGAACCTGGGGCTCAAACCTTAATTCACTTTTCCTACCGAGTTCCTATGTGACCATGATTGATTAAATGTTGAGGTTCTGAAGAATTTAGTTAACAAAATACATGCCCATTAAAAGTAATTAACCAGTCATCATGTATAAGAAGAATGCATAATACAATTACTAATACATTGTTAGAATTGGGTTGTTGTGACGCCACTGTGGCAGCAAATTTTAGCCAGCTAATCAGGGAAATGATGATAAGCGTGCATGCTTTGTTGGTTTAATACAGCAGCATACGAACGAGGGGTGTCATGGAACAAAGTCACTGTTCGGTTTATACTTCGATTTTGGGATCACTATTCAGTATGAGTTCGGTACAACAGGTAAAAAACAACAAAAAGTCCAGTAGTGCAAGTTAGAGTATGGCCCATAGTTCTGTTTGGATCACCCTGAGAAAATTGCTAAAATAAAGACACAAAATAAAAACGACACAGAAATGAATGATATCTTCTGTTTTGAAAATATTAAATAATTACAATGTAAAATATAAGACAAGTTGTTGTTAGTGCTGCAGCTGGATGCACAGAAAAATCTTGTTTATTTAGTACTCCTGTATGCCTGTGAATGGACATGAAGGTTCACAACGTATACTCATACCGTAACATCACTATTACAAACAGTTTCTTGATATTCAAGCAGTCCGCATTTTAGTGATCGATTATTTGATGAAATTGTCAATGCATTAACTGGAAATCAGAGATCACCACTCCAGTTTGAAATGTGTTAATCATCAAAATTCATGATTTACCTTATTTGATTCTGCATGGAGCCTCATCATATGCTCTTGTAATTGGTGTTGTAGCTGTGACTTACATGTTTCTGTTGCATGTTTTTCCTTTACAGGTAAAAAAGATGATAAAAGCAAGAAAGGTAAGCTGCACATCGATTGTCAGTTTCAGTTTGTGAGTGGATGTAATCGTGGTATTGAACAGTGGCAGGTCCAGTTCATCTGGACTGACTACTTCAGACTCCTGATTTCCTTTTGGTAGCAACCATTTAAAATTGCCTCAAAAAGTAGTCAAAACCATAGGTCGAGCTCAAGAGTGCACTTGGTAGCTGTGACTTCACCTTAAAAGAAAGTGGTATTGTGAGTAATTGTGTGTGGAGGAGTTCTCTCCAACAAAAATAGGTATTGGGTTATTTTCAGACTTTCCTGATGTTTTTGCACAATGTACTCATTTCAAATTAAAAATGTGTATTAAAAATGTGTAGTATGCTAAAGAGATACCCTGATGTTAGACAGATTCTGTAGACATCTACAGTGATGATCACACCAGTTTACCTTTCCTACTGTGTCCTAGGTAGCGTGCCTACAAAAATGCAAAGCACTGGAAAGTCCACAACAACTTAATATGATTACACTTAACTTATCAGGCTAACCTTATCAGACTGACTTTGTTTATGGGTAAAATGACACACAAGAGACATGAGACCATTTACAATGTATTTTTTGAAAATCTGAATCTTTTGTCAAGAGAAAATGTTCATAATTTGACAAAATTAACAAGACCTTTACACAGACAAAATACATCATCAGTCTGCAAGTTTGATAAAAAGTAATAGTTTGATTTAAGCAGGAATAAAAAAAATAACGTTATGCTCCTGGAGTAACAGAACACATAGGGCACTTTAAATCATATTTATAATGAACGAAGCATGTATAATAGGCACTGCATTTATAACTTCTCTTTATTAAAAGCCTAACGGCATTAAACAGATTTTAGCTGTGTAACTCTTTGCTTCAGCTTTCCAAAACCATTCACTGGCTAACCCTGGCTTAGCATACTGAAAAATAATATGATTGAACTTTTTCACAATACATATACTTTAAAAGAAGTTGTTACTAAGCACTGTGAAAAACAGTAATTTGTTGTAAGGAGGATTTAATGCAGCCTTAAAGTTGTTAGACTATGGGCCTTCTTTGGTTTCTGGCGTTGCACTTTTGTGAATTGCAAGAATACTCAGAATCCTATGTTTTGAATAGACTTGTATTTTCAGTCGCAATGGTGGAGGATATAGCCAGTGATGTATTAGTTGATAGACTGCATGGATTTCAGCACTCACACTGACCAGATTAAGATTTTCCAACCCGACTTTACCTAGAGTTTTTCCTGCCAGCCTACTTGTGAAACCCCCCCCTCTTCCGTCCACCAGGGAGAGCTCATGAAACAGTGTACAGATGTTCACTAGCAAGCTGAGCTACTGATGTCAACAAAACCTTTGTAGTCTCATGTAGACATAAAATGTTAAACTATCTTTCTATGCTTGTTTTTTTGAGCTCCTGAATTCAAATTAGCCTGCTTTTAAAACTTTAGCCTGTTATACCTACTCTTTTTCCAACACTTGAAGGCAGTCCTTAAAGTACCAGGTTTATGTTATACAAGAACTTTTCCAAACATTCAAAAACATCTTTATTTAGGTCAGACTTATTGTGTATCTTTCATTACTGAACATTTTTGCAATGTTAAATAGATAATGATTTCTTTTTATTTGTTCTTTTTCAATTTCATTCTGTATCATGATTTGGTACTCAAAAAAGTCTGGTCCTGCTGAAGATCATGGCTCTGAGTTTGCCCATGTTTCCTGGTCCCTGGCAGGTCCTCCTAGCTCCTTGTGGTTCCACTTGGTGGAGTGTGTGTCCCTGTGGTCCGAGGAGTAGGAGCAGGTGCTCCTGACTCTGTTGATAGTGATTAGGAGCAAGTAGATTATCTGCCTTAAGCTTGGCAGCTGCTTTCTTCTCTTGCCTGCTGCTGCTGCCTGGCCTGTCCACTAATAACCTCATTACTGAGCTGGGATCAGCAAGCTCACACACACACACACACAGACACACACACACACTCACACTCAGATACCCTCACTCTCTGACATTGAGCTATGTGTCACTTGACTCCGCAGTGCCGTAAATTGTTGCCATGGCGATCTGGAGGCAAAAGAGATAATGCTGCCCTTTTAGTTAGTTACTTGATTTGTTTTTAATTAAGTAAGTTTGGAGGGAGGCTCCCACTCATATGTTAAGTTTATTAACAAAAATCATTAGAAACAGAAAAAAACATTAATCACTTGTAGAGAGGTACGATTAAGACTCTGCCATTCACTAGTCTGTCCATCACACTCTGACTGATTGTTCCCTCTATTAACACGAGACAAATAGGCAGTATGACTCCAACACTGACATCATACCTCCCACCACAAATCCGTAATATCGACTCTCTCTCTCCATTTTCAAATCCCATTTCAAAACACATCTTTTTAAACTGGCATATTCAGTCTGATCATTCCCCACCCGGTCTCACAACTCCTTTACATCCTGTACATTTGTGTTTTTGTGTTTTTAATGTTAATTTTATCGTTGTGTTGTTACTTTGTTGTTTTTATCTCTGCTCTGTAAGGTGACCTTGAGAGTTTTGTAAGGCGCCTTTAAATAAAATGTATTATTAATATTATTATTATCATCATCCTCAGCTCCAGCTCTGGGATTCATATAAGAAGTGTACCAAATGAAGGATTGTTGTGCATGGTATTGTGTGATAGTTAAGTTTATAAGGCCTTGGTCAGCAAATGACAGACCAAGAAACCAATTCCTCACCAAAATGCCGTCCTATTCGGACCTGGCCTGTTACAACATTTTGTCCAGGGTTTCTAGTTTAAACATCACAGCTTTTTCACCTTAATAATTGCAATGGCCTCAGAGAGTCAAAGACCAATACATTTTTACAAAATTGTCACAAGTGATGCCACACTGGCAATCAGGTATTTTTCAAAGATCAGCCTTCCGAGTGTGTGAGAGTAGAGCACGCATCAGGCAGCCGACATGAACGTTTTAGAACCCGCTGAAGTAAGTGAGGGAAAAGTACACATCGCATGCTCTACATTTAGAAAAAAACACATGCAAAAAAGTATATAATCCAGGATGGACAGACTGTATTATGTAGATTTTTCACAGTTCAAAACCACTATGTCTCGTATGTTTTTATAGTTCTGCTCTATTAGTCAAAACACAGATGTTTTGAGTAGTCCTGCCCATTTTTATCTTGACTGAGGAAACAGAAAATAAATGAACTAAGAGCCCAATAGGATCAATCTATCACACTCCTGTCACAACCGTTCAATGCCCAACAATGTGCCAATTAATGTTCCTTAATATTGCTAGGATTTTGGGTCAACATAAAATCCTTTCCCTGGCGAGGGGGATGCCTGATTCCAGCTCATATTTAACGTCAAAAGTTAATTTCTCTATCCAAACAAAATAAATTGTGAGAGTATGATATGGGGGGGGGGGCTGGTGCAAACACTGTTTAATTGTGAAAATACAGATTGTGAATACCATCCAAGCCTTTCCTTTTCAATTTATAAAAGAGAAACATCTGAAAACAGCTTCATGCCATTGACATCATTTAAACAGCAAACTACAGGCAATTGTTTCAGCCATTTCCTTTTTTTCTTACGTAGCTCTTTTGAGTGAGTCAGTATCTTTAGCACGGGCATTACTCTGGACAAATATGACTGAGCTATATGAATGATACTGTTAAGTCGAATTTGTAAAGGATTGTGTTCAAACACCTGAATGTTTGCATGATATCTCTTCAGCAGGAACAGACAAGGATGGTGTGGAGATGCAGCCACTCAAGGAAGATGGAGAATTAGACAAGAAGAAGAAAAACCTACCAAAGAAGGAGAAGTCAGTTCTCCAGGGGAAGCTGACCAAACTGGCTGTGCAGATTGGCGAAGCAGGTATAGACAAAAACGAGATAAATATGAACAGAGTGGGAATAATGCTTCATTCTTCACTTCATCTGTAACTAACAGTACAACTCTGAGGTTAGCTTATGTTAACACAACGCTTTATCTTTCTGTGTATTTTTCTAGGTCTTTTTATGTCGGCTCTCACAGTCCTCATCCTCATCACTCGCTTCCTGATCGACACCTTCTGGGTGCAGGGGGTTCCCTGGTCCAAAGAGTGTATGCCCATCTATATGCAGTTCTTTGTCAAGTTCTTTATCATTGGTGTGACAGTGCTGGTGGTAGCTGTGCCTGAAGGTCTCCCTCTGGCTGTCACCATCTCCCTGGCATATTCAGTCAAGGTCTGTCTGTCCTACACAGCAGTGTCACTCTGAATGTATACATCTTCATTTTCCAGTCTGCAAGCATGTACACATTCAGTCAGATCATTTTCTTTTTGTTACTTATTGATTCGATGCTCTATTGCTGTTGTCCATGTTGGTTGTACCAGTGACCCCCTAGTGGGCCTATTTGACTTCGTCCAAACAATCATGGACCAAACACGGCTCCTACTGTGAATGGCTTTATAAGTTCAGAGTGAAGCTAGCAACCCTGTGTTCCTACTTTTTCAGAAAATGATGAAGGATAACAATCTTGTCCGTCACCTGGATGCCTGTGAGACGATGGGCAATGCCACAGCAATCTGCTCCGACAAGACAGGCACCCTCACTATGAACCGCATGACAGTGGTGCAGACGTACATTGCAGGACGCTACTACAAAAAGGTGCCGGAACCGGGCCTGATTCCTGCGAGGATCTTGGACCTACTCATCCAAGGCATTGGGGTCAACTGCGCCTACACCACCAAGATTATGGTAGGCTGTAAAAATAGCTTTCCATTCAGGAAGCACTGTTAGTTAATCATTTGACCTAGAGTGGAAGATAATTTGGAGAGCTGCCACAGTGGCTCAGGACTCATCTGATCACTCGCTCTTGGATCAACTGCACAGATCAGAGAATCGAGGAGATGAACAGGTCACCTAAACGCTCACTAAATACCAAGACATTTTTAATCAGTTTTAATTTGTCAGCTCACTCCTGAGACTGCTGCACGTTATTTCCATTATCAGTTGTCATGTTGTATATAACAGTAGTCCTTAACCTGGGGTTTCAGGCCCCTAGGGCACAATTTTTGCTGGAAAATAAAAATGAGAAATTAATAACTAACTAATTCACAATGAAGAGTTTTAGTGTTATGACTTAAAATGGTGTCTCTGTGTTTTACTAAAGATCAGACATTCTTTGCGACAAATTAACAGCTGCAAAGAAAAACTACCTTTTAACAGGCAGAAACTCGAGTAGAACCAGATTCATGTTGAATAGCCATGTGCTGCGACTATTCTGGATTTGAAGAGTGGGATAGAGGCAAAGACAGAGACTGAGCTGAACAAGTATCTGATCTGCGTCTCAAAAATGTGAATGCTCTGTATTCTAGCAGTTACCGGTAGTTGTTATTTGCTGTGTAAAATCTATTGGGACACTGAACACTATTACCTCTTTTGTGTTTTCTGAAAGTTTAGTCAGACAACTCATGTTTGTATTTGTTTTAAATATTTATTGCAGCATCAGAACAGAGTTTGTCTTTGCGGTCTTTGCTCTGACTTAATTATTCCTCACATTTTTATTTTACATACAAAAATTTAAGGAGGGATGAGATATCTAAATCGCCCCCAGTCGGAGCCTAAAGGTGGGAATTTGGGTGGTGGTGGGGCTGAGCAAGAATGCAGTACTGTTGCAGGTCAGATCTGGCAATGAAAGAGCAGAGAAAGAGATTGGAAAACTTGCAGCTTAAATAGACCGCCAATTGGAAGGAGGTGTTGTCAGGTGATTGTGGATAATGACGCATGTCAAGTGGGAAATCAGTGCAGCTCCAATTGTCTGCTTGAACTAGCTTGCAGACATTGCCCCATTTGTGTCACGCTCATGATGTTGAATCGATGTTATTGTCATATGTGGCTGCTACTTTTTATCTACAGACAATAGAAGAAACCAATTAGCCATTTAAACTGAAACATATGTTGTAAATATTGTAATTTAACATCCACTCTGCTGCTGCTCTATTCAGCCTCCAGAGAAGGAGGGAGGGCTGCCTCGTCAGATAGGAAACAAGACTGAATGTGCCTTACTGGGATTCTCCCTGGACCTGCGACGTGACTACCAAACTGTTCGCAATGAAATCCCAGAGGAGAAGCTCTTCAAGGTCTACACCTTCAACTCTGTGAGGAAGTCTATGAGCACTGTACTGAAGAACTATGATGGCAGCTACCGGATGTACAGCAAGGGGGCCTCTGAAATCCTGCTCAGGAAGTAAGTTTACTTTGGCTGATGATGATGAACCTCTATGCTCATTAAGATAATTATTACATGACTCCTGCCTTTGCTTGATAGGTGCTGTAAGATCCTTGTGTCTAGCGGCGATGCCAAATCCTTCAAACCTCGGGACAGAGATGATCTGGTGAAGAAGGTGATTGAGCCGATGGCTTCAGAGGGCCTTAGGACCATCTGCCTCGCCTACAGAGACTTCCCAGCTTCTGAAGGAGAGCCTGACTGGGAAGATGAGGCACACATCCTCTCCGGTCTCACCTGCATCTCCGTGGTTGGCATTGAGGACCCTGTACGACCTGAGGTACGTGAGCCCCTGTCTCCACACAGAAATACAGTAAGAGTCAAAACTCACAGAACAGCAAACTGTAGTCCAAGAACAGGTTGTGACATCATCACTGTATTTCTTGAGTGTTCTGTCCATAGCACTACAAAACCTCAACATTGAATACTCCTTACATGTATTGTTCTCTTGTCCTCATCAGGTACCAGAGGCCATCAGAAAATGCCAGCGGGCCGGGATCACAGTCCGAATGGTGACGGGAGACAACATAAATACAGCACGGGCCATTGCTTCCAAGTGTGGCATACTGCAACCCGGAGACGACTTCCTGTGCATAGAGGGCAAAGAGTTTAACCGAAGGATCCGCAACCCAATGGGAGAGGTCAGACAGACAAAAATGTGAAAATAAAATATCAGTGTCTGCAGCTAAAGTCCTCTGACCACCTTACACAATACTTATCACCCACATGACATTTGCATTTTGTGGCTGTTGAATGATGCACTGTCAAGAACTGATAAACTGACTTAAATTAACTTTGTATTCATGTTTATTGTGTTTCTTCAGATTGAGCAGGAGCGTATTGATAAGATTTGGCCTAAACTTAGAGTCCTCGCCAGATCTTCTCCAACAGATAAACACACCCTGGTGAAAGGTTAGACACACTTCACTCAGCCTGATTTATAATGCAGTTTCTTTGTGCTTAACAGATACATGTAAACATTATAAGGAAAAAAAAACATTAAAGTGTGAAAAAACATAATTTAATAAGAAGTAATTAAGAAATGATGCACAGCTCAGAGAAAAGGAAAGAGTGTCAAGACTATTCTAAGGCTCCTAGTGTCAGTCTACACCGCCACTCCTTATTCCATCTGTAAGTGTGTCTCAGCTGTTTTTCTTTCTGCCGTTTTAACAGGTATCATCGACAGCACTGTGCTGGAGAAGAGGCAGGTTGTTGCAGTGACTGGGGATGGAACTAACGACGGTCCTGCCCTCAAGAAAGCAGACGTTGGCTTTGCCATGGTAACAGTCACTGTCACTGTCATCAAAGTGCTGCCTATTGATTTATGGTCTGTGAGGAGTTTTTGACAGGTTATAAAGCACGCTGAATTTAATACTGATGAAACAGCGGTTGTGATCTCATCTTTAAATATTAAGAGTGGATTCATAGGTAAAAAGTTATTCATCTAAAAACTGAACTTAGTAGTAAAGAGATGTAAAAAAAAATCTTAAAAAACATTGATTTATATTTGGATTAGTATTCAGATACCACATTTATTATTTTGAAGGAGAAATAAAAATAGTCCAGAGCAGCCCACAACTTACAAGACAAACTATTGATGATTGATTCTTGATTCTGCTCTATGATCATATCATGTCCTTCAGTCAACAGTATCCTACATCCTCCTTAGTCTAAACCTAGGTGAGTGTAAGCTGACCTGCACGCTTTGCTCTGCAGGGCATCGCTGGTACTGATGTGGCAAAGGAGGCATCTGACATCATCCTGACTGACGATAACTTCAGCAGCATCGTAAAGGCCGTGATGTGGGGAAGGAACGTCTACGACAGCATTTCCAAGTTTTTGCAGTTCCAGCTCACTGTCAATGTGGTTGCCGTCATCGTGGCCTTCACCGGAGCCTGCATCACCCAGGTCGGTTCTACCTGACACTAGTGCTGTCACAAGGATGGACAAAATATTAGTAACCTTCTTGGCCGTGCTAACTTTGTCAGACAAGGTGGTTCATGGCTTTAAGACATTTCCTTTCACCGAGCTACAACAGACTCATACAAAATCTCTGTTAAACAGACCATGGAAGATTATTTATACATACTGTAATTCTGTTTAAAGGTATCTACAATAAAATAGTAAAACAGGTGATCTGCCTGCAGGAGATCATTGATTACAATGTTCAAATGTTTTATTAAATAAGAAGTACAGTCGCTACACTATGATAATAAAAGCTTTACAATCTTTACCTGACGGCTTTATGGATAAAAAGCATTTGAAGATACTCTTAAGATATGAAATCACATTAAGCAATAAATGCAAATAAAGGGTCAGATACTTCAACTTCAGAAATATATTTTTCAAGGAGAAGTTTGCTGCAGTTTACGAATGTAGTAACTGTAAGCTAGTGACAAACAACAGGACGGTTATCATTTAATACATTTTATATTTTAAACTCTAAAAGTCAAAACTGCAATAAGAATGAAAACCAAAACGCTCAAGGTGTATCAGGCTTTGGTTTCTGCTGACAGACCTTGATTGTGCATTTGTCTGTGTGTTTCTAGGACTCTCCTCTGAAAGCTGTGCAGATGCTGTGGGTCAACCTCATCATGGATACCTTTGCTTCATTGGCTCTCGCCACCGAGCCCCCGACCGAGGCGCTGCTGCTCAGGGACCCTTACGGTCGCAAGAAGCCGCTTATTTCCCGCACCATGATGAAGAACATCCTCGGACACGGAGTCTACCAGCTGACAGTAATCTTCACCCTGCTCTTTGCTGGTCAGTGAACACACCACAGCTTCATATCTTTACACGAGGATGTGATTAAATTATTGTGAGTTGAGATGCAGAGAAGTAATGGCAGGTTTTCATTGTCACTATACAGAAGAGTATTGATTAGGGGAGGTTTAGACAGTTAACCAACCATGTATAATGGGAACCGCACTTCTCTGAAAACTATAATCCAATGCATGTAACCTTTGTCATCCTATTTTCTATGAACTGCAAAGTGTGCATATTCTTAATTGTACAAATTATCTAGCATGGGCCGCTGGATAGCCTAGCGGTTATGTCCCAAGCCCCATGTGCAGAGGCTACAGTCCTTCAAATCCAACCTCAACCCTATGCTGCGTTTTATACCCAACTCTCTTCTCCAAACATTTCCTGTCTCTCTTCAGCTTCCTATCCAATAAAGGCAAAAATGGCTCAAAAATATATTTAGAAAAAGAAAGATTTCAAATTTAAAGAAGAGGAAAAATATGCTAATAAATATATGTATACGTAATTACTACTTGATAATAAAGGAGCAACTAGCTGTCAGGAACTTGTGAACATTAAAAGAGTTTATTTGTTGACACAAAAGTAAAGAATTGAGTACATTCAGGGAAATGACCCATACTCTAGAAACCCTTACAGTGTGGACTGTCTCATACCAGACCTAGTCCTAGGAATAACCAGGTGACTCCTGCATCCGGTTAACAAGCAGTGAGGCAGCAGGGATCAGAGGCGAACAGATATATTTATGCTGTATTTATTTAGAAATCAACTCTTATTTTTGATAATAAAGGGGCGCTAGTCTAGCTCAGTTGGTAGAGCAGGCACTTTATGTACTAGGACTACAGTCTTCGAACCCTTTTATTGCAGGTTCAACTCCAATTACAAGGCAAATAAGGCCCAAACATTCTAAATCTATTTGTTATTATTATTAATCTCAAAATAGAGGCGATGTGATTGAGGTACAGGCTGAGCTTTGTTGTTTCTTGTTCAAATTTATAGTTTGTATTTTACTGGGCTATAGATCAAAGACTGCTTTACATTCTGCACATTGACTGTATGCACATTTACTGATCAAAACAATCTCTCAGTTCTCTCACAACTCTTTTAAATATATGTTTCCCTGTATTAGACAATGTATTCTGCCTTTGGTTGACATGGCTTTTGACTGTATCTCTTTTTTCCATCCTGAAAGTACATAAAGGCGTTGTGCAAAAGTGCATAAAATGTGTTGAGGTTGATTTGTTTGTTTGGCTTTACTTTGATGTCTGAGTCACATCCCTTGTATATGCATGGAAAAATAGGGATTCTTGTTTTGGGGGGATTTGTAGGATTTATTGGAATAGCCAACTGGTTTGAAAAACAAAAAATCCTTTAATTTAACAGGGAAAACAGCAACAAATGTCTCCATGTTATTCAGTTTAATACTATATTACATTATAATTTATGTTTATATGTTTTTAACTTTAATTAAAAATCATGGGTATAACTTTGAATTCTTCACATGCTCAGTGGTCTTTTACAATCTTGCTCATAGGTGAGAAGATATTTGACATCGACAGTGGCAGGAACGCCCCCCTCCATGCCCCGCCCTCTGAGCACTACACCATTGTCTTCAACACGTTTGTCCTGATGCAGATCTTCAACGAGCTCAACGCACGCAAGATTCACGGCGAGAGGAACGTCTTTGAGGGTGTCTTCAACAACCCAATCTTCTGCTCTATCGTCCTCGGAACCTTTGTCATTCAGGTATTCTATGAGGGGCAAAATAATCAACACACCTGTTCAGGTTAACTGTCTGACGTGCTAAAACACTACCTGTATGTTGGTTCTCTCCTGTAGTTCGTCATTGTGCAGTTTGGAGGTAAACCATTCAGCTGTGTGCGTCTGAACATTGAGCAGTGGCTGTGGTGTACCTTTTTGGGCCTCGGCAGCCTCCTTTGGGGACAGGTGAGACACCTTTTTGCAATTTTTTTAAGTAGATAGAAAACATGAAATCATGGTTCAAAAGGAAGGGATGATATGCAAACATTTCTGGCCAGACTTAAATCTGAGACATGATAACATTTTCAGGTCACAGAGGTGTTTACAAACAGGACAGGTGAGTTCAATCTGACAGAGGTGTAATATTTGTGTCTGTCGGTTTCTTAGCTGGTGTCCAGCATCCCAACCAAGTGGCTAAAGTTCCTGAAGACAGCGGGTCATGGAACGCAGCAGGAGGAGATCCCTGAGGAAGAGCTGGAGGAGATGAAGGACCATGAGGAGATCGATCACGCTGAGATGGAAATGAGGAGGAGCCATGTGCTCTGGTGTCGTGGCCTAAACCGCATTCAGAAACAGGTATGGTTTATTTTCTGAGTACCCCCAAATGATGCCTTGTAATAGTGCCCATTGTGGGGGTGGCCCAAAATCCCAAATACACTATTTGGTGTCCTGCAACAAGCTGCTAGTAGCTTTCTTTACATTTCAATGATGGACATTTTGAGTATTTCAAAATGTTCAAAAGTAAATATGTTATCGTATTTTAATATTGTGATTAACTGTGATTAATCACGGTGACATTTTTTATTGATTTATGGCATTAAAAAAAATAAGTGGAAACTTGTTAGTACATTTAACTCCACGAGCCTTAATGTCTGTCGTTCACATGGAAACATCTTTGGGGGAAAACACAACACACACAACCCAAGGGTTGAGTTCAATTTAAATGTTAAATATTATTAGAACAAAATGGGCCTTTACTAAGATGACTCATTTTGGAGCCAGCCTCAAGAGGCCCGTCTAAATCGGCTGTTTGTCACAGATCTAGTTTGGCTGCATTTTCAGCCCTGGATGCTTTATACTCATTGTAGGAATCATGCTGTATGTGAACAATAAACTATGAATGGTTAAAACAGACACAGTGAGAAAAAGAACCAGGTTAAAAACTACCACAAATGTTCTTATTTGCTCAAACGCTAAGCTGACTGTGTTCCTTCTTCTCTCAGATCCGTGTGGTGAACGCCTTCAGGGACAGCGTATCTCCCTACGAAGGTCTGGAGACGCCCGAGTCTCGCAGCTCCATCCACAATTTCATGACCGCCCCCGAGTTCCGCATTGAGGACTCTGAGCCTCAGATACCCATGATCGATGAGGTCGATGGGGAGGACGAGGCTCCTACTAAACGGAACTCCACCGGCGCCATTCCACCCCCGCTGACCGTACTGTCCAACCTGCAGCCACTCTCAACCAACCAGAACAACAATGCCACGGAGCGCATTGTTCCGCTGCATAAGGACGCCTCCAGGCCCGGTCTGAACCAGCCCAACTCAGCAACTCTGCCGCCTTGTCCGGGGAGCCCGCTGCACAGCCTGGAGACCTCGCTCTGAACCCCAGACCTGAGCACTTCCTGTGACGATGGTCTGTTCGTACTGTTTGTTACAACAAGAGTTCTGGTTGCTCTGAGAGCAGAGGCATGAAGACCAAAGAAATGTTTTTAAAAAAAGACTTCTCTAATTGGTTCCTATCAGATGTTCACTACTGTTTTTTTTAGAATCCAGGAAGCAGAAATGTTCCCAGGTGTGTTTGTGGACGTGCACAGAGCATTGCGTGTGCACAGACTGATGATTTTTTCTTTAATTTAATAGATATGGACTCTGCAGTTGTTGTTTAGGAGAAGAGTGTTTGTGAGGTGATCGATCAATAATCAGTTTCAGATCTGTAAATATCAATGTTGATGTTCAAAAGTAGTCAGCGCGTTTTATTTGCAAGGTTTAACCCTTTAGGACTGTGGCGGAAATATTTAGAGACCTTTGTAGTAAATCTCTAATGTCTGATTTTATTTTTAGGGTGTTGTTTCAAAGATGTTATTAAAAGATAAAAAACAAAACAACTTATGGAGCAGGATGTTTGTGACACAGCTACTACACAAAGAGATGAGATAGAAACCTTACCTTCACTTGTAAAGGAAAACAAAAACTACAAACATACTCAAACTGTCATTCACGGTCCTGCCATGCTGATGTTTCACCTCCTTCATGAGACATTAGATTCATTTACCACATCAGAGGGTCTTCACGCTCGGCAAAAATATCACACAGGTCCACAGACAGCTGTCTCACTGCACAACACAAGACAGGCGGTTTAAAGCCCTTCACATTATAAAACTGAATGTTAAGAAATCAACCTTATTAAAACTCAGCCCATCATAAATGAGCTGTGTTTAATCAAGTTTTCTATCTGAGAGAAAAGGAACTACTGTGATTGTGACTCGAGGGGATCATATTAAAACAAACAAATGTTAAAAATCTCCTTTCATTATCAACAAAACAATATAACAAAGATGAAAACAAAGGTTTTCTTTTTTTTTTCTTCCTTCATTTCCTAGTCCGGGTTCAGAGAAAAAAACAGACAAATAATAATTTGTGGCTTTCGAATAAAAATTTGTAATAAGATTGTAAATAATTATTTTAGTATTTATGTGGTAACTGTTGTTTTCCCTGAAGTCTTTGAATCAGCTCGTGTCTCTGCTCTCATTGTAGGAGTGTGTGCAGTTATACAAACAAAATTTCAAACATGCAGAAATGCATCCAACCGGTCAGGAGCAGCTGATCAGACAGGACCCCCTGTACACTGCACCACCACTCTACTTCAAAATTAGTGGGATAACCCAAAGCTCAGGTGTGAATCGGGCTGAAATCATACACTGTACGCCCTTGACTGTCTGACCCACTCAGCTAGGTATGTGTAACTCAGAGAGAAACATTAAAAGCTCGTTAGTTTCCATCCTAGAAAACTTAAAAAGTAGGAACTTGAATGTGCAGCACAGCCGTAGTGCAGTGAGCTCCAAGCACCATCGAGGTGAGGAGAGAGAGCAAGAAAGGGAGCTGTCAACACAAGTCATGTAGAATCTGGATGACTGTTGCTAAGCAACCCAAACATTCTCCTCTGTGATTAGCTTGTTACATGAAGGGTAACCCTGATTGGTTGGTGGATTCTGACCTGACAGACAGATCATTTAATCAAGGGACATTTCAAATTAATTAATTCACAAACAATTAACTAAATGTGACTTGTAGCTTAAAGAGATAGATTTTAGACAAATAATGTAAAAAAAAAAAAGAGGATTTAAGGGTATTTTTATAACTTCATCTGGAAAAATAGATGTGTTTTTTTAAATATAGTAGCAACCTTGAAGAGATCATAAAAAAGTGTTAGTGGGACTGGATTGTCATTTATTTTATCAGTTTAAATGTAAAACTGTATGAACAAACAATGTGATCATAAAGCTAAATGGAAAATAACATTTTTACAGCTTACATGGAAAGTCAGGAAATGTGTAAACATGCACATCTTATCTCACCTCAACAATCCAATCGACAATCCCATGTTGAGGCGGATATGACTTCCACTGGCTAATATAAGAAACGCCTGTGAAATAATTTCCCCCCCCCATTAAACTGATTTTCTTCTGGCTGTGCACTTGATGTAACCTGCGTTATTGGTGCATTCTCCCTGTTGATGGCAGGATTGCTCTAATGAAGCTGCTGGACAAACAGAGGGAGCGCCCCCTGGTGGACAGATAGTGCTGACTCACACTGGAAGCTGAAACCAGTGACTGTGTGTCCCTCACGTATTCCCTCATGTTCCAGATGTGCTTTCTTGAACTCATTCATTCATTGGAAATTGTTAGAATTATTTCTTTTGACATCTGTGTTACGCTCACTCATGATTTAGCAATTATCTATTTCAACAATGTATCTGTTATCTCTTACTACAGTTCATCCATTAAATGCTTTGACATTTCTCCCATTAACTATTTTAACTGTTTAATATTTAACTCAACAAGTTTTATAAAAGTTATTTCTTTTTTTTTTTCTATTAAATGTTTCAGAAATGTGTCCAACATCATTTTCAACGAGGTGTCTTTTATCCTTTAACTATTAAAATGACTATTAAGTTTTTATACCATGTCATCATGTATTATTTTGTATCATTTTCCCCATTAAATATATAAAGAATTAACTTATTAACTATCATATCTACATAAGAATATTTAGATTTTTATTCGGCATGGATCTCACAATTACATTGGACACGAATGCTAATTCTCACCACATAGGAGGCTTTTGGTAAATGGTAAATGGAGTCGAGCTTGCAGAGCACTTTTCTAGTCTTCTGACTATTGAAAGCGCTTTTACACCGCAGGCCACACCTACACATTCACACACTGATGGTAGAGGCTGCTATGAAGTGACCATCAGGAGTAACTAATGAAATGCATGCAACTTGGGGTTAAGTGTCTTGCCCAAGGACACATCGGACATGTTGCTGCAGGAGCTGGGGATCAAACCCCCGACCTTCCGATTGAGAGACGACCAACTCTACCAACTGAGTGGCATGCATCCCCCTTAATACAAAGAGAGAAAAGTAGAGTAAAAATAACGAGAATTAGAATAATTATAGAAAGAGAAACACTCCCAACTAATGGCTAAGGAGAGAAAGCAACACAAAATAAAATGTACAAAAATATTGAAAGGACAAAAAGAGAATGAAATATATTCAGTATAATATACTGAACATACCAGCGATAAAAACAAAAGCAACAGGATCAGACGGTCAAACAGTTGTTAGATACAGTGGCGATTCTAGAGTCTGTTGGGATGCAAGGCAAAAATCAGTTGGGGTGGCCCTCCATCCAGCTTTCAGCAGGGCAATGAGAGTGAATGCTGTAAGATGGGGCCCCCTTAGGGAGGTCCCCAACTGTCATAGCAAAATTTTGCTAATTATGGGTCTCTTCTTTAGTTTTAATTTTGTCAGCCATCTGGCGCCCCCTACTGGTCCGGGGCCTCAAGCAGTTGCCTGCGTTGCCTGTGTACAAGCAGCGCCTCTGTTTAGATATTTATGATAGCTCTGTTGTTTTAATTTTAGCCATTGTTTGAGGCATTGCTATTCGTCTACAGTGTTAATTTGGTCAATTGATCACAATTGTACCGTTCTCGTGACATGACCATTTGAAATAAACTGATCGCATGAAGTCTGAATTTATTGTGTTAAGCAAATCATTTCTGGTAAATAGACAATGCTTTCTCACATTTTAAAGAATGGATGGAAACCTGGGCACAATGTTCATACTTCCACACAATTTAGATGCAGTCAAATGAAGTTTAAGCTGTCGTCAGATACCCTCAGATGGTACCACTGCCAATTAAGGGGTTAAAAAAAATCACCTTTTTGTTTTTGTTCATATTTTGGATTCAGGAGAAACATGTGTTGCACTTTATATCGTTTATATGAAATGCAACGAAATTTCGTTCTTATCTGCACTGTAAAGTACAAGTTTGAATGACAATAAAAAAAGTCTAAGTCGAAGTTATGGTAATACAGAACAATGTTATCACACATGACAGGCTTCTCTCATATCATAGACCTAATGCATATGTTATGTAATACATTTTTAACCAAATTCTGAATTAAGATAAGATAAAGATAAGATATACTTTATTCATCCCAGCAGGGAAATTTAGGTGTTCCAGCAGCCAGCATACATACAAACACACAACACAACACATATATACATACATATCCCACACATACAAAAAACATGAGCCCACAATACATAGCCAGGATAAAAAAGTGGTATGGATGGTCCATGTGCATAAGTAGCTGTTACTCATAGATAACAGTACAAAATACTAGCTCTGCCAGCGCATAGTATGATAGATAAATAAAGAATTATTATAAAAAATATATAAATAAGTTAAAGACTAATATTACTTGGTATGTATCTGCTAATGTTTTTCGGTTAATTGTGAGTATTTTATTTTTAATTTTGCTTATTTTTATGCAAGCAGGAGGTCGGTTTCTCTCTACGGACTACAATCTGACTACAATCCCCACAACTCTACTCCTGCCTTCGTCACTCGCCTCCCAACCAATGGCTGAGCTCGTCGGAGTCATGTGACCAGCAGCGCAGCCGATTTGAATCGTTTGCTCTGGCCGTGTTTTCGTGTCGCCGTTTGAATGCGAAGAAGAACATAAGAATTGTCAGTTTTTAAAGAAGAACTTGAGGTTTGTAGTTTTGATTAAAATGAAACTCGTACTCCCCCGAGCTGCTGAAAGGACGCAACTTCACATTTAAATTCTCACTTCAGAGCTCATATCGAGTTGAGTTAACTGCGTTGTCTGGGGAGCCAATGGGCTACAAGCTAACGTTAGCATGACGATGAACTGTTCAACATTATGCTTTCAGTCTCCGCTCTTTGTCAGAGTGTTAATGTGGAATATTTTATAAGCTGTTTGATATCAGATCTTTATTTACCTCTGCAGGTGTCGTCCGTTTTAGTCTGATTCCCTCAGAAACAAACAGCGGGATGGACTCTCGAGCTAACAGCGGTAAGTGAACACTCCCTGACCCCCCCCCAGTCTGTTTTGTTTATAGGATAGGATAAAACTTTATTAATACTGTTGTAATCACATTGTCTGTTTATGAACTTTGTCTTTGAACAGATCTGTCTTTTCTGCTTGATGAGAAGTTTGACTTCGATGTCTCTTTGTCACCTGCCAGGTAGGAAGAACATTTCCTGAAAACTTTACTGAAAAAAAACAAACAAAAAACATTTAGCACCAAACTGGTCACATCTTTCTGTTATTTGAACAACTTTCATAATGTTAAAGTTTTGCCCCCTTCATGAGTTTAATTCTTCTGTAAGCTCTTTGATCTCCTCTCTGCTGGGATGTCCGTCATTTCTCTCTTCTTTGCAGCTCCAAAGGAGACGAAGATGAAGACGAGGTGTTTGTGGGTCCACTCAGCCATAAAGAAAAGTGCGTCTCTGTGAAAG